ACGAGAAAACGCTCGCGGAGTATAAGTTCTTTTCAGAGGGGCAACCGGACTGGATGACGGTAAATGACGGTGAATGACGGTGAATGTCGGTGAAAGACGGTGAATGACGGATCATTTTCGGCGTTTTCTCGTTTTTCGAAATAATCTCGAAAACGGCTGCATATTCGAGGAGAAGTCTCATGGGTCATATTGTTCTTTCTGACAAGACCTTCCATAAAGCTCAGCATGATTTCCTCCCGTAGTTGCCACTGTTCAACTCCTCAAGCGCCGAGGACCTGACTCCTGGTCGACATAATCCCTGGACATCGATTCCACGGTGCTGACTTTTTACGCCGCAGTTTTGAGTCTGAGAGGTGATGGCCTGGAATCTCAACCGCTCCGGAGCGAAGAGGGCCATCTGTGTTTCAACGGAGAGATATACGGGGGTCTCGAGGTATTTGCTATTTTTTTTGGTGTTCGCTGGGCGGGATCAGGTTCCACCATGCAGGTCGAATCCACGCAGCAATTACGAATTCGTGCAGAGGTAGCTAAGAGTACATTTCGCTTCAGAAGTGGACGATATCCTCGATGCAATCTTTCCAGGCCAGTATCTAAGCGGTTCCGACTCATTGCAGTCGACATCGCCCGAGCAGTCAGACTCTCGAGCGCTTTTCCAAGCCTTCAAAGGGACTCAATCGCTCGAGGGCATTGCTCAGAACATTGAGAGACTCCGGGGACCGTGGGTATTGTCCTATTCCTGTTCGAGAACGGGAAAACTCTTATTCGGCTGCGATGTTTTCGGTCGGAGATGTCTCCTGGTGCGGAAGACCTGGTGTGGATTTAGCTTACATCGGTGGCGTGTCCAAAAAGCTCATCTGAGGTTCGTTCTTGAACTCCCGATCGGTCAGACCGCTTCTCAAAACCCAACGCATCTCATTGCAAGTTGGGAATCTCATCTGAATCTTTTCATTGCGGCGATCTGCAGGTCTGGCAAGAGATTCCTGTTCGTGCGATCTATGTGTACGATGTGAACGATTCATCTTTCCCCCTAATAGAATGGGAGCACTCTCCAACAGGGGAGCTCTTCCACAGCTTCGCTCCGTGCAGTAATCTTGAGGACGTCCAGATACTAGAGTGAGTGACGAGATTCGTCATGCGAAGCGAAATGGCATTCTGAAACGATCACGCTCACAAATCTGACTCGAATATCTCACTGTACTCTGCTCTTCTTCAGGTTAAAAATCGCTTGCCCTATCCGACTACCCCTGAATCGTAGTCTCGAAAACCTGGAAATCATGGACGGCGGTCTGGCGCAAAAACTCGATTCCTTGAGTGAGAAATTTGGGAACGCGATCGAGAGTCTCCGCGTAGCGTTCCGGAGGGCTGTGGTGACTCGCATCGAAAATATCCCGGAGCGACATCGGTCGGTATTACTTCAGCCCCTTGAAGTTCCCAACCCATACACCGGTGACGGGCCGGGATCTTCCTCATTCACACCGGTTTTGACGCTAGGAAAACTTTATTTTCCAGAGACCTGCCGATTGGAATACTCTTCTCTGGAGGGATCGATTCTGCGGTCATAACAGCTTTCGCTATGCAAACCTTCCCTCAGAAGAAATTCGATCTCATCAATGTCGCCTTTGAGCACAAAGATTCCCACGGCGTTGCATCGTACCAATCACCGGATCGTCAATCGAGTATCGAGGCTTTTGAAGAGCTCCGAGTTTTGAATGGTCAACTAAAATTGATTTGCGTCGACATACCGCATGAGAAGGTCGAATCAGCCAAGCTCGAATGCCATATTGCGAATTTAATTCTTCCGATGAACTCCGTCTTGGACGAATCCATCGGTCTCGCGCTGTGGTTCGCTGCGGGAGGCGAAGGCTACGACTTCCACTCGAAGGAGCCCCACCGATGCATGTACAAGGTTCGTTCAGTAATGGTGGAAGTGTTGCCCTATCAGGGTGTATTCAGCCAAAGTACTAGAGATATAGGAATATTTCTCCGAGATCGCATTTCCCTTTTCTGCTACCTCCCCGAGCTTGATCGACTCAGTCATCGGTCACTCCCAATAGCAGAGTAGGTACGATGAGTTTCCTGAATCCTAAGCCTGAAAACCCCTCCAGGTACTTCTCGTCGGGATGGGTGCCGACGAGCAACTGGGTGGCTATTCGCGTCACGCAGCAAGTTTCAAGGAACGTGACTGGAATGTTCTCCTGGATTGTATTGCTCAAGACATCGATAGGATCTCGTGGAGGAATATGGGCCGGGACGACCGCGTCATAGGAGATCTCAGCAGGGAAGTGCGGACCCCTTTCCTGGACGAGGACCTTGTCGCCCATTTAAACTCGTTGCCGATATCATTGAAGATGCAGCTCCACCAAAATCATGGAGCAGGGAAAAACTCATCTTGAGATTGCTCGCCCATTCCCTGGGCCTCAAACAGACAGCCTTGCGATCCAAGGGAGCCATGCAATTCGGATCTAGATTTGTTAATTCGTACAATAAGAAGAGAAAGGGTCACGAGTCCTGCCAAGGATCGAGCGAATAAAGACGCAGTAAATCGTCAACAGAGCAACAATAGTACTTTTTCATCGGTGCTTAAAATACACTCTGTACATGGGATCAAAATGACACCGCTTCCGAGGAGCTCCGACGAAGAGATGGGCGTTCATCACGCTCGTCTGACAAAATGGCATTATTGATTGAGGAGGGATGGATGATCGGTTCCGTGCCGTGTACGAGCTGCGTTGGCCCATAGTTGAGCATAAAGTCCAGCGGCTGGATTGAGGTTCTTTCAGCTTGGAAAGTGTCAGGCACAGGTCATTTCGACATTCTGGTCTTCAACTTGCATCACGTCCGAAAATTGGGGACATACATGGAATTAAAATGACACCGCCTCCGAGGAGCTCCGACGAAGATATGGGCGTTCATCACGCTCGTCATACGGAATGGCCTTATTGATTGAGGAGGGATGAACGATCGGTTCCGTGCCGTGTACGAGCTGCGTTGGCCCATAGTTGAGCATAAAGTACAGCGGCTGGATTGAGGTTCTTTCAGCTTGGAAAGTGTCAGGCACAGGTCATCTCGACATTCTGGTCTTCAACTTGCATCACGTCCGAAAATTGGGGTGGGCTCGATAGGGGAGTATGAACCTATCTTAAGTTGCTCGACGACGCTGTTTGAATAAAGACTCGTTTTCGGAGAAAACGGCCGACGATTCAAAGGGGAGCTGACCGGACGATGACCGTCCGCTATCAGTTACAAGAGCGAAGTGGTCTCTCCGGCACGAGCGCGTACGTGCAAGCGATCTCGACCGGGAGAGAAGGAAGGGGGAAAGGAATCGTCGGCTCTATTTATTGGAATACATTTTACCCACGTAGCGGAGCTCCGTGACAGGGAGTGATATCCAACGCTTCCGAATGCTTCGGAGGGTTAGTGTCTCCCTCGCATTAGCTCGGTTAGAATAGAGATGAACTTGTCCTGTCGAAAAAAAGCGCCTTGAGTACTCTCCTCTTCGGAGGATGAAATCGAAAGCAGCAGTCCAGGGATCAAAACTACCTCCTCTTCGACTCGACTCTTCAAAACGTCCACCTCCGCCTGTTTCTCAGCAAGTAGCCTTTCTAAAGAGGCTACTCGCTGAGATTGTTCCCTGATCCGCTCCTTCAGCTCTCCCTTGTTGGGGGACTTCTTTCGGCGGCGCTGGAAAAGACGAACATTTCGGGAAAACTGAATATTTGAGATCTTCTGGAGGCTGGGGGTTGATTGAGTGAAATGCTCATGTGAGCATTCAAGCTCCGAATACTGTATACCGTGCGCTTCAACGGGAACTGGTGGAAGCAATCGTCCGAGGAGTCCGCGGTGGTCTCGGCCTGGAAAATCACACAAAAACATGGGACACCGGACAAAACAAAACGAGAAGATCGGTAAGCCGTGTTACTCACCTTCGGTGGGGGAGGTCGTGACCGCCAACTTGAGCGCACCGAAGATTCAAGCGATTGTGCATTTCGGCGCGAAGTTGATCTGAGCGCGAAGGAGCCTGCAGCGCAGCGTCGATTTGAGCACAACGTACGGTTGAGCGCATGCCATTTTCGGCGCATGCTTCCCGGAGCGCAACGAAAATTTGAGCGCAGTGTCGATCTGAGCGCAGCGTCGATCTGAGCGCAGCGTCGATCTGAGTGCAGCGTTAATTCGAGCGCAGCGTACGGTTAAGCGCACAAAGCCTTGTAAAATTGAGTTTTGAGACTGACTGGGTTTTTAAATCCAGTCAGTATGGCCCCCAGAATATGGCCTAATTCTGGGGGCCTTCTTGCCAATCTCACGTTCATTAATGAGCTTACAGTACTAGGTTTTCATCGATGAGAATTTCCTCGATGGAATTCCCGTGGCGTCGCAAACGCGAGAACTTCACGCTCATTATTCGCAGCACTATATGGCGAACATTCTATAACGAGCTGTCCTGAGCGGAGATGCGCGCATCATAGAAACGTGCACCAAACGACGTCTCGCTGAAATTATCATTCTGCGCGATGTCAACCAAGTGAGCCAGGCTGAGTTCATTCGCGGCAATCGATGCATCTTTTCTCCCGAACCGGTGGAAGCTTAACATGAGCTGCGAAATGCCTCTGAAGTTCGTGACCTCAACCAGAGGTAGGCCAATGCTTTGTGTGGGAGGTTTTGTCTTCCGCAAAGACCGAAGCACGCTTGATAAGACAACGTGGCGTTGCGAGGAGGAAACTTGTCGAGCTCGCATCAGCACCGCGGACGGCACTCATAGTGTGAGTCATAACGGAATCGAGGATCCGCGAAATTTTTATGAAGCATCCAGAACTATTTTGAGCATGAGCCCCCGTGTGACTTAGAGTGGTAGCGACTTTTCGGTCCTTCAAGCCAAGACTTTCCCTCCAGGATCCACCTGAACACATGCACGCCCCGGATTCAGTCGGAATCGATGTCCGCGAGAGATTAGATTGCCTACGTAAATCTGCGGTTCAGAAGACCTACGCGAAGTCGACCGCGTTGGTTGCCGCAGCTGTCAGCGAGGTCAGCTCACGCTCGACGCTGGGCAGTTTGCCGAGACCAGACCTACTCCGAAGACAGGTCTTGCGCGCGAGAAAACGAGAATATTCCCCGATGCATCCGACGAACCCCTTACGAAGAGAAGACTTGGTGATTCCAGATTTTTTGAAGGTATGCGTTTGTATGCCCGAAGATTGCCTTCGTCGAAGTCCTCGACACCTTTCTTCCGTCTATGCTCTCCATGTTACAGATGACCACCAAAGGTGACCCCTTTTTACTGTACGACTCTGGGGAAGGGGACTGCGAAAGGATGATAATCTTCGCCACCCCCGATAATCTCGAGCTACTGAAGACATGCGGCGAGTGGTTCTTAGACGGAACCTTCAAAGTTTGCCCCCTGATTTTTCATCAGATGTACAGCGTCCTCGTGAAGATTTCCGGCTCTCACAAAACTGTTCCCGTCGTGGATTCCTTGATGCCGGGGAAAACATCGAGAACTTACAGACGATTTCTGACAATCCTGACCAGCTTCCTCGATGACTTTCGGCCAGAGGTACTTCACGTGGACTTCGAGATCGCAATGGTCCTGAACTCGAACCACCTTCCCATCAGTCGATATCCTCGGTTGTAATTTTCATTTCAACCAGAGCCTTTGGCGCCACATACAAGCAGACGCCACGCTCCGTGATAAATATCTGCGGGAAAATGATTTCTCTCTGGACGTCCGTATGTTTGCCGCAATCGCCTTTGTTCCGCTAGGCAACGTACAGACTGCTTTCGAAACCTTGTTAGAATCCGAATTCGTCCGAGAGAATAACTATATCCTCACCAATTTCATTAATTATTTCGAAAATACATGGATAGGTCGTCCTCGCAACCCGGCACTTATGAAACCTCAATGGTGGAATGTTCACGAAGCGACGCTTTCCGGGCAAGGCCGTACCAGCAATGAGATTGAAGGATGGCACGCAGCGTTCGCGGGCAGAGTGGGTGTTAGTCATCCGACATTTTTCAAACTCACGGAGCAATTGAGATTCGAGCAAGCCTTGACCGAGTATGCAGTGATCAATTTCCGTGCGAATGGCTCGGAAACTCAACCGAAGAAGAAGTATCGAGATCGCCAAAAGAGACTTCTGAAATTGACATCGTCGTTCGACATCCGCAGAACGATGCAGTTCTTGAATTCAGTGGCCGGAAATATATCATTCTAGTGATTACCGAGGCTTCGATGAGCCATTCACGGAATTGTCCTATCCGTTCATCGAAAGTTCCCGGTGAATGAGGGATTCGATCTAATGTTTGCAAATAAGTTAATCGGCATTGTAATAAACCCTCAAGTTGTGTGAATTGTGCGCTCTAATTCACGCTGGCTCAGATAGTCTCTGCGCTCAAGTTTTCTCCGCGCTTGAATTTACATCGCGCCCGAATCCACAGGCGCTCGACGCTACTCCAAGCTCCAATCTACGTGCGCTCAAGTCTCAAGTGTACTTCGCGCTGAAATCCAGGGCAGCTCGAAACTCCTCTGCGCTCAATGCTACTCTGCGCTCAGATCAACTTTGCGCCGAAATGCACAATCGCTCGAATCTTCGATGCGCTCAGAGTGTATGGCACCGGGGGAGGTCGCGCGAATTCTTCGCGCGACTGAGCACTTCTCGGCTCCTCGGTGGAGCTCGAGAGGTTCCCGGATAGAATCGAATCTATGGAGAACCTCCGTTTCTCCGGAATTCGATTTGCAGATGGACGCTTGGCCCTCGAAGGCCTCGCAGTCGACGGCCCGGCGACCGGGAGTTCGGCTGTCGCGGGCCCCGCGTCCATCTGCAAATCGAATTCCGGAGAAACGGAGGCTCCGTTCGGAATGCTTTGTTCGTTGTTTCCATTAGACATTGCGTCGATGAATTGCTGTTGATTTTGATAGTTATGAACTTCGCGATATCGCCGCTGATGACGATCTTCTCGCTTGTGGGGCTGCGGCTCGGGGAGCTGGTGCTCCTGCTGCTCTTGTCGTCGGTGAGGTTTCTGACGATTTCGTCGTTCTGATCGTCGACTTCGTTGTTGTTGTTGCTGCTACTATCGTTGATACTCTTGAGGTTGCTGTCGCGATCGCTGTTCTCGTTGTTGTCGTTTGACGTTTTCCGGCTGGTCTTCGACTCTACTACAGAGTCGCCATGGAGCGTCCATCGATCAGATGAAGTTGAGCTCTCCTTGACGAACTTGAGTATTAGTGGTGGACTGAGTGAGACAGGCGACGGGGTTTTTTCACGTTGTTTCCTCAATCTACGAAGGGTACTCGTCGCTTTTCTGTGCCTGCGGCGTCGTTTCTCGTAAACGCTGTTCGATGAACTACTGTCACTCTGTGGCGAGCGCTCACGCAGACTCCGTCTCTGCGCCGCTTTCAGACGCACGCTCGTGGTTTTGCAATGGAACTTCTCGCGATCGGCAGCCGTCAGTCGTTGCAGCGTAACGACGGGCTGCAGGTTGAACTTTATTTTCTGTCCGTTGATCACGTAAAAAGTCTCTTTACTTAAAATCCAGAATGAAACCTCCAGCAGTTGAAGCTCGATGAAGGATTTACCGCCTCCGAATGAAGTTAATGATCTTTGCTGGAAAGATGAGCGCGATCGGGCTAATCCTTCATTCCTTTGAGAGATCAGTTTCGTAGACTTATGGACCAGATAGTTTTTTTATTTTATTATAGATTATTTATATTACTTATAAGTACCCTACAGAGGAGGCAACCGGACTTGGAAAAAATTGACGAGGGTCGGTCCCCCATTTCTCTGACCCAAACGGTTCACTTGTCGAGATTATCATATTGAGCCTTCTTGAAGGTCTCATTGAGACGAACAATATGGCCCATGAGACTTATCCTCGAATCATTATGACTCATAATGATATTCAAAGAGTTCGCTGGTTCTACTGCTGACATCAACTCCTGAAAGCGGACCGAGGACGAAATCCTCACATGACACCCGTGACATTCAGCTAATGCATCTCGCTGCTTTCCAAGGACATTGGTGGTCTTTTTGAACGCGCTCCTCGGTCGACGCTCGTTATATATATAGAGGTCCCTTTCACGTGAAAGGGACCTCTTGCTACTCGAATCCTCAGGGGATCAGCATTGGTAATGGAGAGCTTCCCGTCCCCTAAACGTTGCGTGCTTGTTAGCGGGATGGTTTCGGCATACGCAACCGGAAAAGTACTTCGCCGCCGTGGTATCCAGAGAACCGACCCTCTCTCCCGATGTGGAGAATCGGGTCCACATGGCCAGCCGGCTCCGAACGACCCGCCCAAAATCTAAGTCGCCAGCCACGAGCCGGCTTCGCTACCGATCAGCCTCCCACGGCTCGCGCCTCGTCGGAACCCGAAAGTTCGGGTTCTGGGCGGGGCGCAGAGGTTCGCGGATGCCGTCGAGTCGAGATTGTCTAGAACGTAGCACTCGATGCAGATATCAATCCCTGAGGGAGCTCGGACGACTACTTCCCCGATGGGGATCCGATTGCCGGACACGATTCCTCTCCGGAGACACCATCGGAATGGACACTTAATCTCAAACTATACTCTCCTCGAAGGCGGTGTGGATAAGAGATATATTCCACTCTCGAATGATCAACGAAAATCTGGATGCTCTTCAACGCGTCGGATATCTAGCTCCCTGTCAATCATATCGAGTCCGATGAAAGGCAGATCGGATTCAACCGAACGCCTTTGAAACGGTACGTTGAGAGACGAGTCAAGTTCACTCGATCCCTTGCGGTGGAGGAAAGCAAGGCAGGTAGGCGGAGGATATGATCGAGCAGAATCGGAAGTCACAGGCGTCTGATACGATTTCAGGCCCGTAACGTCGAAAAACTGCTCGAGCTCGGCAGATGGACGGGTGACAAGGTTACGTTGCCGGTCGAATTGAAATAATGGAATGCTCTCAACAGAACTGAGCGGTCGACACGGCCCTGGAATCTTCCGTCACCCAATCGTTCTCGGATAATCACGGCAAATTACTCCGCTTCCTAAAGATCTCTCGGAGCCCCCGCCGATGAAGCTGGATGTATGCGTGAACTGTGTATATAGTCACGGAATATGAAACATCAATCGATCGACGGCACACCTGTTAGTCGATGTTTGGCGAGTATCTTGGATGAATACGGTATGTTCATCTCCAGGCCGGAGGCGAGTTTCACGTAGCGACTTGCGTCAGGGGCCCCGCTGAAAGCAGCGGGCTGTAGAGAAGAGCCGGCAACAAAGCAGGCCTCCTCCTTGTTGCCGCAAGAATAGTCCGCCCAGAAGAACAGAGCGAGTAGTGAGAGTTCTATAAACTTAGTGCGATTTGCGTCTGGAGTTTTCCTTACTGAAACGTCCACTGTCATGGATGAATTGGAGTGCACGTCACTCCTTGACGGGGTGCGCAAAATTCTAGCCCGTTCTACGGGCGGCTCCGGAGACTTGAGTGAGTTCGGTGGAGTCGTCTTGCGGCAATTGCCGGTAGCTCAGAGGGTGGTTCCCCAGGAAGATATCCGGGGCGAAGTTATGGATTTCATTGTGCAACAAATTGAAGACACGTGAGTTCAATGATTCCGTCTCGATTAGGTAACTTCTAGAGGGTTGTTACGATTTCTTTCATCGAGTTCCGACACATCGATTCAATCTAGAACAAGAACATCAGAGCAATGCTTCAAGTATGACGTCACCTGCTTCAAGACCTCACTGTCTGAGCTCTTGAGAATCTTCTCTCTGCTCTGATGTTGAGCCGTGGCTTGTCGTGCGTTCAGGAGCCGAATTCCCCTTCGGACAGAGAAGTTTGTCGGCCTCGGACCTGACAGCCGGTTGCGCACCGATGATGACTGCATGAAAGTTACGATTATCCCCGCTCTCCATTGAAACATGTCCGGGAAGAGTATTGATGTCTGTTCCTGCTCGATCACCGATTGTCATCGTGCATAAGACGCACGGGAATCAGATTCTTGTTGGAGCTCATTGGGGGAAGTGCCGACTCTAGATCTAGATCGTTCCACATTGCAAGGAAGAATGTTGGCTCTTGCGGACGGGCGCTCGTCTGTAGATGAACTGTTCTGTCAGACAGGAGAATTCCACCGGATTACTGCGCTGTATTCCAATCACAAGCGAGTATCCGTCGGATGGATGTTGCATGGTCCGCTATCCCGGCGACTACCCCGCTTACGGGATTGCGCTGCTCGGACTGACACCATGGTACACCGGGCATAAGAGGGTTCACCTCCTCGAATGACGTCGGATGAGGGAGAGCAGCGTTTTCCGCAACCAATATCTTTGCCCATGGGTGACGAGAGACGAAAGCCCTCGAGTCTTGCCGGTTCTGCTGGAAGAAGTGAGTCACGTAGATGCTGGAGGAGCCACGCCGGTTCCGCTGCATTGAAACCTGGCTTCGTCACCGACTCCTCTCGTTCAGAAGTTGGCAAGCCACATCCACGGAGGGAGTCCTCAACGCTCTCTCCGTCGTCGTTGCCGGCTAGCCGAAGCGTTGCCTTGGTCGGTGTAGACAGAGCAATTGTGCAGAAGTTTCTATACATCCATCCAGCCAGCCAACCCAGCGACCGTCCGACCAGCTAGCTGACCAAGCAAGCTACCAACCGACTGACCAAAAAGCACACCATCCGGCCGTGCTTGTGCCGGCCTACCTCGTCTCGCGGGTCGCTCCCCCTCATAGAGCAGCAGCTACTGCAACAAAAAAATAGTCAAGTATCCGTTCGACGTGACGCTATCTCGGTCGACGATCATTACTTCGTTCCAGCTTCAAACTGTGCTCGTCCGGCGAAAAGTTTTCAAAGATAGGCTGCAGCTCGTCCTCGTGATCAATAGGATCTCCCTGAGAAAAGAGCCAATCCCCACAATTCTGGTCCCGGGAGCACTCTGTAGATGCAGCTCTGTACTCTCGTGACGACTTTCTTCCGGGAATCCTCCGTTCTTCTTCTGAGTGAGACCTGATTTCCTGAGCATGGCCAGTTTCGAGGAATGTTGCGAAAACTTCGCAACGAGGCTCACTCATTCTCTTCGGCTAGGAGCGCGTAATAGCGTTGTTTCGCGGAGCAGCCCAAAATGTTCGCCGAATGCGCGACGCCATTTCGTTCGATGTACGGGAAGAGCCTTGACCCGGCGAGCACGACGCGACGTCAGGGGGCGTTTGGCCGATCCAGACTTGGGAACCCATTTAGCTTTACGAGCCGGAATCTCGTTGTAGTCCGTAAGGCTCTGGTCGAACACCCTGACTACAAGCGTCGCGTCGTCTCGACGAGATCATCTCGATAGACCTACACATAACGCTAGCAGGACTGAGAATCGGAATTCGGATCCACATGAGCTGTAGAGCTAAACTTGAGAGTTCTCCACTCGTAGGAGAGCTTCTTCTCGCACATTCAACTACCTCCGCAGTCTCTGGTGCATTGAAACGACCTCGGAAATTTCGGTTCGGGTGCTCTAGAAGTTGCTCGAGTACCCCCCGCACTCCCAGTCGGGCTCTCCTGCTTTCCGGAGCCTTTCCCCTTGGCATCAATTCACCGCTCCCCCGGCTTACTTTGCTGCAGAAGTTCTGACTTCCGGCGAATCGAAGCGCGATCGAAAAGCGCTCCGTAAGTTCAGTGTTCCCGTTTGTCCGTCAGTGTTCCCGAAGAGCGGACAAGTGCCCCATCGGTGGGTGAGGGCGATTTCCCTGGGGTTGCGGGACTCCCGGAGTCTTTCGTGCTGTCGATTCAAGGCTCAAAGCGAGAAACATTGGAGGCTGAACTTTCACAAGGAGATGATTTCAGTCCATGATTTGCGTCTAGGCTGATGCTTCTAGACCTTTTTGCTCGTCAATGTCATCTTTTTTCCTCTGAGATGCCCGCTCCCTCCGATATTCTGTGTGTGCTGGTGGGCCATGGACAGCTCCCGCACTACGAATGTGAGCCACCGGGGGAAAACTCTCGGGAAAAACTGATCGAGATGAATCGAATCACAAGCTGGCTGGGCGGAGAAGTTTTCGATGCGTCGCGTCAAGCTTCCTCTACTGGCAAGTGCCGTACTTGCATAGAGCCAGACATTTTTAGTTTTGGATTCCATCTCCGCATCTGATTCCCTCTAACTGTTACCGATGACGATTTCTCTTCCGGTCCAGAACTCTAGCTGCTCCTGTCGCCTCCCCGCACCGATGCCCTTGGCGCGATTTCCGAGTTACATGTACATATGAGTGATTCAATTCTTCCCGTTTAAATGACTCAGTGTCGATCGCTCAGTGTGGAGAATATCGCTCGGTCGGTTCGGTAGTTCGCTTTCGTCATTACACGATTCTCCCGTATCGGAAACGCGCCTTCGATCTCGCGGACATCAATTTTCCGATCCAGAGCGCATGACTCACTCACTGCTCCATGCCGCCGAACGCCTCGCTCGCTTCGCTGGACGCCTTTGGAGAAAACCGAAGAAGCTGACCTTGAACCGATTATGGCAGACATCATTTTGTTAGGACTCGTTTGGTTATTCATATCGCTATTGCTTTGGATAGTTGCTGGTCATGAGGAGTCACGTCCAAACGAAGAGAGGTATACGACCGTCTCCTCTACGGTAACGGTGCGGCCTCTTCAGATTCATGGCTTTTTCGGATTTCCGATAGGCGTTTCGCTGACTATTTCCGCGCACATGTGCTTCGACGGTTGCGGAATGATGCCCCGGTGTGCAAGTTGATGTTTTCTTTCTCATCTTCTACCCCTCCGCCCAATTATTGTCGGAAAATCCTCCTCCTTGACCACGAAACTCATGTGGTACTAATTGTAAGATGAGCTGTCCTTCTATTGTGGCGACGGCTGATTATGCATATTAGACGAGCAATATCGGCACTCAAAGAAGAGCTCGGTGACCGCGTCCCAAAATACGGTCATCTTCATGTGTGCATCTTATTAAGAAACAAACAAGAGCCGTGATGAAAATCAACCCTGGCGATTGATTGTATGATAGGAGCAACGCTTGCGGGGCAGGGCCTGCGCCCTTGAGCGACTCTATCGGCTCCTCGATACGGAGGCCTGGACTGATCTCGGCTCTCGGAGCACCAGAAAGAACGGAGCATTCGGCTCCACAACGGCCCAATAGCTTGTGTCGCCCAGAACGCAACAACTAGTTGAATGCGCCGATGGAAAGAGCCTTCCCGGGGGTACCTATCTGCCACTCGATTTTCCTGCTCGTCCCTGCGGGCTGTGTGGGTCACCGGCAATAAGTCCTGGAGTACAACTGGAAAAGGAATATTCACGGATGCTGCATGAATGAGAGATTTTCCCCGAAGATTTGAAGTGGTGCGAAACATTCGAGAAGGGAATTGGGGATACTGATGAGCTCGACATGCGGGACACAACTGACTGAGCTGAACGCATCGATCGAGGGGGCCATTTCGACATATTGATGGAGACAAAGGCCGCGATGCACGGTATCGATGTCGGAACACATCCGTGAGGCATGCTTCAAGTGACTGCCCGTTGACTAGCAGAGGTCAGAAGAAGTCCTGTCCTCAAGTCCTTCTGTATTTAGAGTTCGCGAGGAGCATGAGACACAACCTCAGAGGTGAGACAGCGAAGAAGCGGCAGATGGAAACAGCTGCGAAGTGATGCAATGCCGTCCGATGGTTTTATCCTGATCACATGTATATGCATATTCCGTGGCACGGTGCTTTCCATGCAATGTACCTCGACGTCACCGACGACTTCAATGAGTCTTCGTGGAGCGAGCAAACGCCTCTGAATAGCGGAATCGATGCGCACATGACTTCTGTTGTGCGGAATGAGCATGAAAAACATCGCATGACAAGGGTTCACAGCCATTTTCACGCAACGTGACGGAAATGTCTTTGACACTCCTCGCGTGGATTTCCCTTTTGAAAATCTTCGCGCTCCAGCTCCTGTACTTCTATCCAAATTTTTCCCAGCCGATCACGAAAGCTCGTAGAGTATAATATCATCGCTGAGGAAGTTCCCATCGTAGCGAATTTCGATTTCGAATTACCCTTCCCCATTTCGGAAAACAGTAGTCCCCTATGTCCCCAAATCAGACCGATTAGGAGAAGCAAGAGCTTGGACAGCACTGTCAGCAAACAGGCTGCGTCTCGGCTGATGTGCTCCCGCGGAAGAATCCTCGATCGTTTCTTGAGATGGGGCTCTGGACTATTCGACTGAGGCCCTCGCTCTGACGCGCAGGCGAAAAGTCGTAGGAATCGTCTTGAGTGGGAGCCGCGAGATTAGGCTTCAACATGCCGATGATTGAAGTGAACTCATTCCCTACCCCGAATACACCACGTGCTCTGGTGTGCCGGGCTCAGCGCCTGGCCAAGGAGGTGTCTTCCCAGACGGAGTACGACGGAAAATGGGTCGCCTTCATGCAGGAAAAGTCTGCCTTTCGAACTGGGGGCGGCCAAGAGTAAATTCGATTGGCGAGTTGGCGGAGAATTACGCCGATACCTGATGCAAGGCCTCATGCTTCACCATACTCTTCAGATGCGAATCCGCGGGTGAAAGAGAGTGTGAGCTCCTGACCGGATTATTTCAGAGCTCGAGGCGTCCCTCGAACTTCTCATCGCATAGGTCACGGATTTAAATAGCGCCGCTCCGGAGCGAGAGACTCGGTGGTCCCCGCTGTAGTTTGAGACGAAGGTAGCACGCTTCCTCACGATGATTCTCGATTCCCAAGGGAAGGCTCTAGCTCGACGGGGAATCGACGGGGAATCAGTTCGAGGAGACCACGCTCCTAAAACCCTACACGATTACTTTCATGCATGTATGCCGCTCAAACTCGATTCCAAGTCGGAATCGATCGGTTGAGAGCGGAGTCAACCGGTTCAGGTCTTCGGAATTATTGTCAAAATGCCAGACGAACCGAGGTGAAAGAGTCCGATCTCTAAGAGACTTTTGATCGGGCCTCAACTCCTGGCGCTCACTTCTGACCCACTGATAGAGATCCGAGACGTGCTGGAATGGAAATCACGCTCGCCAACTAGAATATCTGGCCACAGCAGGCCGCTGTCATCGCGCGCGAAGAATGATTCTGCTGATTCGCACTCTCTGATCTACCGTGCTCCGCAGATTTTATCACTCCGAGGATTAGGGCTTCTGTCTAAACGGAAGTTGCGAACGACGGGCCTGTTCGGGTCTCCCAGGGGAGGGATATTCGAGATTTTTTAGCGCCTTCGGGTCTGCTTCGGTCGCTCGTCCTCTCCACTCGATGGATCCAGGGGAGGAGCGGCAGACGTAACGGCACCTACCAAGGACATCGGAAACGAGCTCCCTCACAGCGTTTAAGTCCATTCGGAAGAGTCACTTAGCAGCTCTTGACTGAAAAAGCGACATACTGAGTTTACCTTCTGTCTTGCAGCGAGAGGTCCGCCCTCGGCGGCACCATCTCGGCACGTCGAGGGCCGGCATTTCCGGGTTTTGCATTTTTTTAAAAAAAAAGCGAGTCTCTGCAGAGGAATCTAAGATACCCGTCGCTCTCAACGTCTAAAATGATCTTTTCTTCTGACCAGGGATCTCTCTCCGACTTATGTTTGGGCCCTGGCGACTAAGGTCGCGAACAAAATTTCCGAGGCCATACTATCAAGTGAGTACCGATTACAGGAAGCCCTTGTTCACCAGGCCTCGAGGGTTCCGGGGCAATCCGAGACAGCCGGTGTGAATTCTGAAATTAGGTCTTGGATGAATCCTGCTGCGAAAGTTCCTGTTCCCAACCGAACTGCGGAAGGCCAATATGATCCGTAACCTTGGTCGGTATCTCTTTGCAGACATACAAATTAACGCTTTGAATGAAGTCTCGAAGAAGGAACTGGATAGTTTGTGCACCCGAATCGAGGCGGATCCCTCTATTCTGGAGGTCCGAGCAAGTTCTTCCAGCATCTCGGTCAAAGCGCTCCGAAACGCTAGGAGAACGATGGAGGATCGCCACGTCTTGATCACAGATTTGAACCAAGTGGCCGGGCTGGAGGCAAGTATAAAAAAGGCGACGGAGACCTGCCGATTCTTGTGTTGCCCCATGTTGCGAATATTGCTCAGTCAGCTCCCTTCGCTCCCAACACGCCTCGTCTACCATACCCTGACTTCATGTCTCCCAACAGGCTTCACCATCCTACGAATACTTCGCGGTATTCGATGGTCACGGAGGACGAGAAGCGGCGAATTATTGTGCTGCACACCTGCACTTGGTCTTGGCCGAACAAATTCGGTCCGGGCTCCCAGCACCGGCAGCCATAGAGAAGGCTTTCAAAATCGTCGATGCTAACTTCTGTGATAGGTGAGCAGACATCTGATTGTTCGAGAAAAGGTTTCCTCATCGCAGCATCGATTGCGTCAGCAGACTTCTCTATTTTGAGTCTCCGTCTACTGAGGCCTCTCGCCTTATCTTGACTCTGACAGAATACCATTCCAGAGCATTGGAGATGGCTCGCAAGGCCGGCAGCACTGCTGTCGTGGCGCTAATTGTCGACAAAAAGACTCTCCACATCGGATGGCTGGGTGACTCGGAGGCGGTTCTGGCACGCGATGGGCAAGCCCTTGGCTTGGTGAAACCCCACAAACCGTCAGTCATTTCGGAACAGGAGCGCATCGAGCGCCTGGGGGGAGAAGTAATCTCTCTGATGGGCGTGCATAGAGTCAACGCGAACCTGGCCGTGTCCAGGGCGATCGGTAGGCGAATTTCCGGATTTTTATTCTCGAGCGTAGCGCCGCAATAGCCTTCAGTCTCCTCCGGATAGATTCGAGAGACGAGTTCCGCTAAATAGTCATAGGTAGTGAATCTGTGTCAGATATGATGCTCAATTCATGGACTGTATATATTGAAGATTATTAGGAGGTCCGACGCTCAGCTTCAGGAGAATGGGTCCATCGATACCAATAATTGCACTTGATGAAATCCGAATCCCATTCCAGGTGACGTGGAACACAAGCCGTACGTTTCGAACGACGCCGAGGTCAACACTGTAGAGCTCGATGATGCCTGCGACTTCCTAGTTCTCGGATGCGACGGATTATTCGACCTCATGAGCTACCAGGACGTTGTTGTTAATGCTTATCATTCGGCACTGACCCGTCGTTTCGATACGAGCGTTGCAGAAAATCTCACTAGGGCCGCTATATCAAACGGTTCGTAAGGTGTTTAATCTCTCGGAATGAATTGTTGCATGATAGATAATGAGGAAGTCGTCGGCTTTCGACAACTTTCACCTTTCTGAGCACGCGCTGACTGTTTGCGCCGGTTTTGGCGTCCCTAGGAGATAGGAGGAAATTTCCGCTACGCAGAAAGCTTTGCTAGTGTTTCCCCTTCTGACGTCGTACTCTGTGGCTTCGAGGAATGATCGTTATCACCAAGTGAGCTCTTCGCGAGTAGAAACAATTTCGACGACTAATCTACAATTTCTGCAAAGCCTTTATCCGATCCGGAGCTACTCCCCGCTCGAGTGTTCGAATACAGAATTTATGGTGACGGGGAAACAAGCGATCGTAAATCCCTGGGAAAGCCATCGACTGGCTTCTCGGAGAGCGCCACAAACGCGTTTATGTTCACGCGGAAGTCGACTCTCATGGGAGAACATGCCGTTGGGAAGAACCGGAACACATGAGGCGCTCGTATGGATGTGGAAGTTAAGCGAGAGATTCCAGATCGCGTATCCGCAGCTCACTCTCAATTTCTTGGTTCGGTAGGCTGGTAGGCTCCATAGTCGACCGAACGTTCACGCCCGGAATCCTGTCGACATGTCAATTCTGGTGGAGGAATCTCTGGTCGCGGTGCCGTCGATCGGTGTGAGACCCCGGCAGTAGCAGCTCACAATGCTCTTACTGACTGTACGCTCAGTTCTCTTTGGGAAAGAGACTCTGGCCTGAGAGAGCCGCGCCCATTGCCCTTTAGCCGACTGGTCGCTCGCGCTATGGCAGCTGAACATCGTAGGATAGCGAGTTGGTTTAGCGCGAAAACGTTCGTTCATATCTTGCGAGAAAGAGCTGCTCCAACTGCGTCAACCCCCTCAACGTGGTCGTAGCATGGCACGCAAGAGGCGAGGAAAACGAGGATCCTCTGGTCCTGATGCTGGTGCGTTAGTCGAGCCCGGTAGCTCATCGACCCAATTGTACCGAGTGATTTTTTTCCAGGATCCACAGACAACGTCACAACGATTGTGGTCAATTTGAGAGACCCCAAGAAATGGCACTTCGAAAACGTCGTATTCCCCAAGTCCGAAGCTGCCGCCGCCGTCGCCGATCGAGTCACTCCTTCAACTGGCAAACAACTGAACGGTTCCTGTGAAACAGTTGCTGCGAGTCTCTCCCTTACAGGTGGTGATTCGTCGCCAGTCAGGGAAGTTGCCGCAGGGTTCGTAAGCGACGCAGTCGAAATGGCACTCAGCAAAGTCAACGGGGTGAGAGCGCAGTTCCTTTAAAGTTTTGCCTATTTTTCTCAAAGCACGTCCACGTGCATTCTGGCGAAGCGCCCAGGCTGTTCGAGTGAGTGCCATTGAGAGGGCCACCTCCGCGGAAGTTCCTGATGAAACGGACGCACGACGGCGTTCGCCATGCGGTATTCGCCGTTCCCCGCACGTTAAGCGAGGGAACAGAGACCTTCGGCAGATGTATCTCATCAAAACTCCGATCGTCAGATCCCACACCTGGCCATGCTGGTCGCCGCTAGATAGAATTGACTTGTGCGATAGCCTCGGAATACGGTCAATGGCGCTCATGAGTCATGAGAAATGCTGGAGCTAGGAAATGACCGGATATGGAAGACACCTCCTACGTCAGTCAGTCGGATTCTAGCTCCCGTAGGCTATGATGTCAAGCTAATATGATATGAAAGAAAGAAGGGAGGAACCGGCTATCAGAGGCTTCCCCTGATTTGCCAAGGCGTCTCTCGCATACGAATTCGACTGTAGGCCATTCGTTCACGGATTCCTCATTCTTCATTCGATGACGCTCAATGAGCGTCGACGTTAATTCCAGACGCCGCCCAGCAATTTGGACCCCGTATGTGATCTCTCCCCACCCGAAGAAGAGCAGCGAGATCTGAGGGCGAGTCTCAAAGACGACACCCCTGAAGCGGATAGGCTGAACCCAGACGCCCCTGAGTTCGTGCCGTCCTTCCCGACGGCCTCAAGAGCTCCGGAGCTCCCGAATCAGTCGTCGTCCGATGAGAACAACGGAGCAACAGTTATTACTGGCAAGTATATCAATGGCGTTTTGTCTCTGCGAATTCCACACATCCAGTTGTTTACATTCTTTTTTCGGAATCCACCCATGGAGAGGTGCGATGTCGGCGGACAACGAACTCCGGATTAGCATGTCGGGGTCGGAGAGGCCGCGTAGTGTTCGTGCCTGACGTAATATATTCTACGAGGCATACCGCTCTGGATTTCTGGAGCCATGAAGCGTGTGAGACACGACTCTCTTAGTTGTTCCGATTAGCAAAGCCGCGGTACATTTTTGTTGAGTTCGTGCGCATTCGATTCTTTTCGACGGGATCTTTTCCGTGCTCGACTTGCGAAGATCATTGTCTGGGGGTCAGCATGTGAGACCCTGATAATCTGAATGCGTCAACGAGCGTCCCGATCTCCGAGTGGTGTGGACTTCTCCGAACTACTGCGAGGATTGACGCTGGATTTTCGGAAGAGCGGTCCCCGAGGCTGGGGCATGACATCTACTCGTCAAGTCGCGAATAGTGATCGTCAAAGCCCCATAAGTTCGCCCGCGAGCTCGAGACTTCGGAAGTCTCCGGAAACGGATTGCGTGGGGATCGAAGTGCCACACGCATGACGAACACCCACCAGCTTCGTTGTCCTGTCCGTGCTTTCAATCGCATAGGGTCCAAGAGGACTCCATTTGGATCCGATGGGAGCTCGACAACGATGATTCATCGGGGCGTCGCTGATGGCTCTGAGCACTCTAAACGAGGGCGTTGGAGCTCGGCCGGCCGGGCGACCCCCAGTCTGCGAACGAACGGAGCCTGAGAGGGTTAACGGCGACCACTGAGCCGCTGAATCGTTCCACTCTTGAATTGACCAACGATTTGCAATCCTATGATGCGTGAGTCGAGCGTGTGTTCTGGAACATTGATGACGTGCTGGTCTCCATTCCTTGCGGAAGATCGACTCGTCGACGGAATGTGGAAGAAACTCGAACACTGTGTCGCCTCAAAGATCCGAGAAAGAATGTAGGTATCAAACTCCTTTGCTCGGGAGCCCCGTATGTTTCGGTTCTTGGGGCAGATCATCGCCCCGCTGACCGAGTTCGCAATCTTTCGATTAGGTGTTCACTCCAGTCCGATGGCGAATGAATAGAATGCTCATCGCTCATAGTATATCCTGGCAGTCGACTCAGTCGGCGGTCACTTGGGCAGGGTGATGAGGAGGTGGGAAAAGGGAGTTAAGGGAGAAAACTCGTCAGCGAGACGAATCCTGCCCAAATGAGATAAATTCGATCGAAGGATCGCTCGTCATGTCGCACGAGGTCTCGATGGTGTGTCAAGTGAGCAAGCCAGCGTTCGGAAGAGAGCGATGTCGATTCAATGTGTAAACAATGTGTTCAGCGACGATCCCCTCGCCGGGACCGGCAGCTCTGTGGCAGTCGATGGCGTTAGCAGACATGCGGTCCGGCTTCGTATTCGGAGGTATCGATCTGACTTTACAATAAGGCATCCGTTGGCAGAATGTGACGCGGACCATGACCTGCCTTTCCGTTCGATTGACTTATCGAGTTCGACTTTTCCTCACGTTCGCTTTTTCCCCTCTTCCCATTAGCATCGCCGGCAACCGGAGGCATGCCTAAATCGGAGTCGCGGGATGAGCTCGTCTACGAAATCGATCGTGAACTCGGGACGGCTCCACAAGCAGTGCAGGCAGAACTGGTGAATCTAGATGTTTCTTCAGGAGCGAGCGTTTCCGCGATGAAAGCTGCTGATGGCCTTTCGGACAGTGACGAAGATTTGAATTCGATGGTGGTGCACGAAGATCAGCCCCAGCCCGAGATCAAGCTGAGCGAGCTGATAGTTCGCGAGCAGCATATCCATGTGATTCCGGAAGAATCGCCGAGCGAAGAACAGACCTCTCCGCTACCAGCAACGGAAGCCATGATCGGTGCTCGTGAGCCCTTGATCGGTCGAGACGGTGTAGTCGATCAACTCGTCGATCTCTCGGGAGAATCGGAAACTTCAGCTCGTGCACAAGCTTCCGGGGATGCTGAGCCTGTTTTCGGTTCAGCGAAAGGGTTGGACGAGGCTGCCGCAGGAAGTTCGCAGAACGTTGTCGAGAGCCCACGTGTTTGCGAAGATCTCGTCGATCTTGCATCCCAAGTCCTCGAGGCGGACGTCCTCGAGCGAATTGAGTCAAGCGAACCGTGCAAGCCAGCCTGTGGAGCTCACGAGGCTCACGCTCCATTGAAAATTGAGGATTCGCAATATTTGTTCTCGGCAGAAGTCGGCGTTCACGAAGAAACCATCGTTCCTCGAGCTCAGCCGCTTCTTTTCGAAAACGAGGAGCCCAAATTAACGGAGCATTCCCTCATTGACGCGATGGAGAACTTGATGCTCGATGAAGGGCCGAAGGTTGTGGACGCCATAGAAAAGCCTCCGAGAGCTCCGGCCCCAGCCAATGTGGTCCCAGAACGAGCTCCTGGAGAAGTGGTCCCGGAGGAGCACAGAGCTGAACAGCATCCCGATATTGGTGAGTTCTCTCTCCCTAGGCCGTGCGTACTGTATCAAACTCATGCCCATTGGTCCTCAAAAACTTTTTTTCGAACTTTTGTTCCAATTCCAGAAGCTCACAGCATCGGACTCGAATCAGTCAAAGACGTCGTCGAGAAATTATCCGCTGTTGGCGAGACGAAGGAAGAAGCCGTCGGGGCACCCGTCATCCCTGATTCTATTCCCGAAGCCGAAGGAGTCCTGGACGTCGATTCTGACTCTGACAACGACGCTCAGGAATGGAGTTTCGTGAAACCCGTGGATTCACGCGTTCAGACTGCCGAGACGCAAAAGCTCTCCCCCGCAGCGGTAACATCGGCGACTGCTGCAGTTGTTGCCGCGACATCCGTAGCTGCCGCAGCCGTGGCGACCATGGCGAAGCCGGCGCGGGAAACAGCCTCAACCACGACACCTACATCGACACGGAAAGCAGCGGAGAAGGCGACGACCCCGAGCTCGAAATCTGTCAAGAGCAAAGCAAGCCCAGTGAAAGCTCCGACCAGCACGAGTGGCACACCAGCTGTCAGAGCTGCCGCGAAAGTTCCCGCTTCATCGAAAACTGGTGTAAGGTCCCCAGCGGCGCCCCAAGCTGCTGGTAAGCTCGCGACTCCGCGAACGCCCATTGCAGGCGCAAAACCCGCTGCTCCAGCCAAACCGAAAGTCACTAAGGCATCACCTGCTGCTGCTGCTGCCGCGAAACCCTCTCTGCCTACGAGCCCAAAAACAACAGCCACGGATAAAGTCTCATCCGTCTCGAGACCTATTCCAAGTAGAGCAGCGTCTGCGACGAAACCCGTGGCTTCAACTGCTGCGAAGAACCCTTCAGCTCCAGCGACCCGCGCCCCCCTGAGCTCCAGAGCACCTACGACGACTTCGACAGCAGTATCCGCGGTGCGGCCTGTCGCTGCGAAATCTGCAGCTGCGAGAACCAATGCTAAGGCTGCGGCAACCTCATTGACAAGTGCGAACAAACCTACTTCCGCAGCTCTTACGAAGAAAGTTTCTGCTCCTACTGTACGTCCCGCCCCGCCGAAACCGACTGCAGCTGCTACGGGTCCGAAGAAAACCGTCACGAGCGGTGCAACAACAGCCAGCGCACCCGCCGCACGAGTGGCTGCGGCCCGGGTGGCGGCGACGGCGGCGATGCGAAGCGCTCCGAAAACGACGGCAAGTGCCGCAACCACGGTCTCATCCGCGAAACCAAAGAGTGGAACAGTCAAGGTGAGTACTCCACTTGTTTCATAAGAACGGTATCGGATTCAATACTCGTCAGATATCTCGCTCCTCGGTGACGAGCTCCGAGGAGATGGGAGCCGATATTCAGACATCGAGCTCCATATTATGCGCCAGAATTTGATGAAACTTATGCCTGTAGACGACGTCGAGCGTTGGAAGCAGCAAAACAGCCCCGAAGTCGCCTGTGAAAAAGAACGTCAAGTTGGAAAAAAAAAGTGAACCAATCGCTCCCCCTGTTGCTGTCGAACAGGTTGCAAAGGAAAACGGGAGCCAGACCGCTCCTCCCCAGACCAACGGTCATCCTCCATCTCATACACAAGACAACAGTTCGAACCCCAACGGTGAGTTACGGTGGCTTCATCCTCGCCCTTCCAGCAGGGCGGAATATATGGCTTGGTTTCTTCAGTGGACTGTTATTTCTTCAAAACTGGACATCGGATCTCTTTTCAGAGCTCGGACCCACCGGGTCACCTGGGACCGCAGAACAAGGAGACGTCGTCGTATAAAACTCACAAAGCCCATGAGGACGAGGTGCATGCGATCGAAACACTAGCGGCTTACAATCAGACAGTGTTTCATCGCTCTATATACCCGGTGTGCTTCATTTTAAAAACAGCAATCTGTCCTACGATTTAACACGCATTTTAGAATTAGTGGCGACTCTCATATTCGATGTCGGCAGAGAAGCAATTCTGCCCTGACATTCTATCAATAATTTCGCTCCAACGCTCATCATCCTTATCTGGCTCCGAGAGCGATGGCCGCGTCGTATTTATGAAGATTATAACTACTGAACGGATATGCTGAGAGAGCGTGGATCTCCGAGAGGATATCTCGCGTTGGAGCCGCCGAACCGATGTTAGTCCCTGCTCTCCTTGCATGAGGTAGCGGATAGTATTGCTTGCCGTGCGTTGTCGCTAATGAATAGACTCGACCGATGCGTCACCTGTGTCGTCAGGTCGTGCTCCGTCCCCACTTGACGGGAGGATAGTGGACTTCCAGAATGAATGCGGCAGCAATCATGAACGAAGTCAACGCTCTGTGGTAGACGAGAATTCGATTTTTTTGCGAAGCGCAACAAACCCAGAATGACGTTGAAGATCTTCAAGTGCCTCAACTGGTTTTTATGATATCGGTGCTCCGAACAAGCTCCACACTTAAAAAAGGCCCTCAAGACGAAGGTTCAGGTACAGGTCGAACATCCGAATTGAACACTGATGCAACATGCGACTCATGCAACGAAGCCGATGCAAGGAGGCGGGGTGAGCATCAAATCCGCACAACGGCCTGAAGTCCCCGCTGACGATGTGGAAGCGAAAAGAACAATACCCACTTTTATCGGGGAGAATATCCGACGAAAGAGTCGGATGCGATGCGGTACCCGCGGAAAGAAGTGATCGAACGACAGTTCTTATGGAAACACTCACCCAAGACGGCAATCACCGACTTTCAGAATACGGGAGATGGAGCATCTCAGTATTAAAATTTGACTAATCTGGGCGTTAGTCTTCGATGGGACGTAAGTGCGAGAGCAGCCTCAATCAGTGTTTGAATGACTATGCGAACGGATTCGATATCGCCTGGCTAAATTGAATTCCTGTGGTAGTCAGGAAGAAGACTCAACAAAGGTCTCAATGATATTTATCAGAAAGGGGAACAAAGCTTTCACTAATATTCAGGCGTTATCCTGGCAACCTTTCCACGAAAACTTTTTCGTTAGTGTTCGAGGGAGGCCGCGAGTGAACAAACGATGGAATAAATCACTCATCCCGAGAGGTTAATATATGGGGATGAATCCTGCTTACGAACCCAAAAATTCCATCCGCAGAAGATTCTGTGAAGCAGCTGCATACTTGTTATTGAGTTCGGCCAGGCAAATAAAAAGTCGAAAAGAAAACGGACCCAGTAAGCACTCTTGATTAGAAGCTCTACTCTGCCTTCGGGCAATCGTTACAGGCCAGCTCACTCAATGAGGAACATGAGCAAACTCGTCGATTCTGCCACGGCCACCTGTTTTCGCGAGAACGCTGTGTTCGCTGAGTTCAGTGATCATGGTCCAACGTTGGAGCATCATTTCTGCGGAAGGATCCGGAGATGGAGTCCGGCAGCAGGAATTGGACCTTCCCCAGGGAGAGATATCCGTGTCGGAATTACCAAGCTCTGCTCAATGGAGCCAATGAGGACGCGTGAGAAACGAACATCCAATCGATCCATCGCGAAAGCTTGCGAAGCTTCGAGACCGCCTTGCAGATGAATGAATTCCGACGAAGGCCAACTGTTTTGCCAAGGAAAAGGAAGGCAGGGGAGCTGAGTTTTGCACCGAGATGCAGGTTCGCGCGGGGCTCTCCATCGCCTGCTGGCGATGGAGAACGGTTTCCACGGACTGGTTTTCGCTGCGGCCAATTCTGTACTCGAGTTCAGGCCGTCCCTAACGGCGACCGAAGAGAGGTTCTGGTCGCCTAACCATGTTCCTGCTCCATTCCTTCTGAAGAGGATCGCTCCCCCGACTTTCTCCCCGTGGGAATGCAGCGGAGGATATAATACATATGTATAATCGACAGTAGAAGGGATTTTCGTGAGCCACTAGAGGGTCTTCTTGTGGGGTTGTCCGATTACTATTCGAGCTGCTGATAGTACGGGTATCGCTGAGAGTACATGAAAAATGAATGTATCGCATGTGGTAAGCTCCAAGCTTCGCAGCCGAATCTCGTGACGGGTGCGCCAGATTCCCGGAGACTTCGGGGCCAATTTTGAGGGCTCACTTCCAGCCGACACCCGACTTTCCATCGATTTCATCACTGATAAAAGGCGCGTGGGCGAAGATCTCCCACTGAAAGCTCCGCTCGAAAGATGTGAAGCAAGGAAAATATCGCGGGGTCAAAGGTCGTCGCTCTCTCCAACAGTCATAACAGCAATGGAGCACAGCGAGACTTTGTGCTGGGGGGAGGAGGAGATATAGCCCATAGGCATGACTTTTTCCCCTGGACCTTTCTCCCTGCTCTTGACTTCTTCAGGCTCGTTGCTTATGAATATTCCATATCACCAATCCTGAGTAAAATATTACTTGATGTAGCTTTGTGTCTGTGCCATTTGGGAGCTGACAGAATAGCCGTCATCCTGGCGCGGAGCGGAAGCGTCTAGGCCACAGTTTCAATTCTAGGGAAGCTCGGAAGGGAAACAGACAAGTGAAGAATCAGCGACTCCGGGAATTGCTCATCCCGTGCCCGAGCTCCAAACCCTGTACCCGCTATCGGAGCCCGGGGTGCCCGGGAGTCTCGTCATCCTAACGAAACACCGTCGGCGGCGGTATGCGCCGAATGGGACTGCGAGATCCACCAACGGGACTCCCCGGGACTCCTAATATATGGGACAGACACCAGACTAGAATGAGAATCTGAAAGACACGAGTGCGGTGATTCTCCGGATCAGGAGAGGGGCTTCCGAAATGGAGATATGCTTCCCGATCGGGTCTTCAAAAACGGGATGTCAGCATTTCGTCACAGCGAAGGAACCATAATCGGTGATGGAGAGAGGCGACGCGACCGACTCGAATCGAAACATGCAGCTAAATTCGTTTCGAGATTTTTGAGACAGCCTGAAGGTGTTGCTCTGATCTCCATGGGGACCGCGGTACCCTCTGCTCCTATAGATTAGATCCTCTCCCTCAGTGAAGTGGACATTCGTCGCTTTTCGCGGCGGCGCATTTCCGTCATCGGAATCACCGATAACGTTTCGTAGGTGACATGTTCTGACTACCGAGGAATCCATCCTCTCGGTTGCAAGGACCCGGAAGCTTCGTTTTCCCGCTGGGAGAGACATGAAATCACCTTACGGCTGAAACCGAAGAGGCACGATGAGTTCGACGGGACCGCTTGGTTTGCTCTGCCTTTATTTGACTTTCCAAGCTGGGTCGAGTCTGACTTTCAAAAACAACATACGTACCCGGCAGGTAAGCTCGAATCCGATTCGATCGAGGAAATCGACAACTCGTCGAATAAGGTCGTCTCTAACTCGCGAGGCTTTGAAGGGAGAGAATGAGAGAATAGCCATCAGAGGTACTCGTAAAGCAGCGAGATAGTTCGTGAGGAGCTAGTGCTTCACGAGGGTCGTGTTTTTGGTCCCCACTGTCCATGGCTCCGGCTCCAAATTTCATGGAAATCATAGCCACCGATATCTCAGAGACCAAGGACTGGATTGCATGAACTGAGGTTCGAAGGTGTGCGGGACGGTTGGAGCCCTCGTCGGGGGATGCTTCGAGGAATCTGTGTCAGTCAGGAGTTCGGCGAAGATCGAGTCTTCGCCGAGAGATGGAAGTCACGATAGAGACGCCCGATGCCGCTCGACTTGAAGCTTAACTGAAGCCTTCGGAGCGAGAGACATGTTCATAATTGAAGAAACGCCGAATCATCAGGTCCGACGCTGCTCGAAGAGTTGATGGCCTAGGCCCCGGAGCACGGGATGCGTTCCAGATTCGGGTCGGAGCGAACTGAAGCCTCTCGCGCACCCGGTATTTCCCGATAGATACCAGAGAATTCCGGCTAGCGCTGGCTATAAAATTCGCCGATTTTAGTGAGCGAAAACAAATGAGCCTCAACCTATCCTCTAATATCGAGCTGGATCTACTCAAGAAGTGTTACGAGTGCGAGATACTTATACGGAGCCGATGCTCCGGAATCCTACGTCGCTATGATTTCGAATCCTCGGAGCTGTCCCCTCTCGGGCTCTCGAGCGCGAAGGGGGTCGAGCTCCTTGCATTGAAAACGCGCGATGGCGTGGAGTGCATTCTCGTAGTGGAGTGCATGCAGTCACACAGAATGCGACCCTTCCATTGGGAAAGCTGGAAGATAAGTGTCATACATCGAAGGAACTCCGACGCAGGACTCAGAGCGTTCTCAGACGTCGGATGGGAGCCACCACGTTCAGGCAGTAGGAGAGCAGGAGTCGACGCGGGCCTTGTCGTATCCTAATATTGTCAATGTATCGATCTGTTGATCAAAGGACGCATCCTTGTCAAGCGCGAATTCTCAACACACAGCAGGGGCCACACCAACCCACTAGGCACTGGAGAATCGCATTGGCGGAGCTCAATGGTGGACGGACTGCCGGTAGAACGTGTAACGCGGCGTCTCACGTACGGCTCGAATACAAGCTTCCAGCGCGAGCAGCCCCGCAAGTCTTCAGTTGGCGTTCCATATCACCTCCCAGGATGCGCCCAAGTAGGTCGGGGGTCGGGGCCATCGTTGAACCCTCCTGCCGGCTGATTCCGACAGGAGCCTCCATGCAATGACATCCTGTTTCCGTGGTGGCCAGTGCTCGCGAATGCCACCCCGCCCTCGGACTCTGATAGAAGGGTGACAACAACAAGTTCACTCGCTCGAGAGAAGAATGTCTTTGGCATCGAGGGGCCGATAATTTCCAGTGTCCGCGGGATGCACCGGCAGTTTCGTTTCGAATGCCTAGACACGCGATCAGAGACGGACGTTCGGCTTCTCTAAAATTCGGCTCGGGCGACGTTCGGTGCCGATGCGTGATCGGGCCTGGAAGCTCCTCGGCTCGTCGTGACCGTTGTATTTTCTACCTTTTAGGAATGGGTGTTCCTGGGTCGTTTCTGTTTCCTATCGCTGCAAGGACATTTCAAGTACAACATCAGTTTTCCAAAGGAGTACGGCCCTGTCGAGCTGCTACTTTATTACGACGCGCCCAACCTCTGGGAGACTGTGTACCGCTCTAATCTCGTAAGCTGAATCCTACTTACAGTATTGCCTCCTTACAACGAATTCCCGCTGTAGAGTACGCTAATTTCTGATTCTTTGGTCGGTTTCCCTAAGACCTTATCCCACAGACCCGTCGAATGGTCGAACTAGTTCGCTACAGCGAACATTCATTCAATCGAGCCGTTTCTGTCGGCGTGTTCGTAGTAAGGAGGATTCCAGTGTATCTGTCGTCTCGAGACACATGAGATCGAATTTCTCCCGGTAATGAATCAGCCGACCAGAGAGAAGACTGAGGGCCGATACACAGCGCGATTCTGTCGTTTCCTCAGACTTGCATCGAGCGCATAAAGCCACTGGACAAGAATCGCAATCAGGTGATCGTGCTGAATCAAAACGAAGCCGACTGCTCGCTCATCGACGAGCCCACGCCCAGAGTGCAATGTGTCGGAGACATAGGATTCAAGACAGCCAGACCTCGCTGGTGGTACATCGCTGCAGCTAACTGCCGGAATCGAAGAACAAATTATACTGGCATGGTTCTCCGCTACAGACTCGATACTCTGAACGCCAATATCAGCGAGTGGTGGTTCCGCCACTTCTCCGCTGATCAATTCTGTGAGTGGACTATCAAAGAAATTGACCCGTGACGGAGACGACGACGGAGCGCTCCGAGAGAGAGCATCAACCCCGAGCCTCCGCTATCAAGAAGTATTTTCTTACAGATATACTCCACACCGACATCGCCTTCCTGGTGATGTACCTCATTCTTTGCGTGCTCGCCATCTACACAGCGAGTGAGTTCGGCCCTGTTGAAGTCTTCGGTTCGAGATTTCCGATAGCGCGATTCCGAAAAGCTAGATCGCGAATTTCACCTCCGAGCGCTCTTCCAGATAAACTCCACGGTCGGAACCTGCTGCACAAAACATACAAACTGTACATGGTGTCACTGAGTTTCCAATTATCTCATCTCGTCATGATCATCTGTTACTACTGCATCATTGCTGATTCTGGCCAGGACCGAACCGGTATAAAGCTTCTGGGTGAGTTATCGCCATTCGGTCAAAAGGGGGAGGGAATTCCAGATTCCTGGCGCTGACCGGGAGGGAAGGACCTGAAGACAACGCCTGGTATCCCTCTGGCGACGAGGGACCCTGAGATTCTCAATTCCTTGACGATTCCCCCCCTCCCCGCAGCGAACATCTTCACAACGATTTCGACGCTGTCCCTGCAGCTTATGTTGCTCCTGATAGGCAAAGGTTACACGGTAACTCGCGCGCGCCTCAAATACAAAACCACGGTGAAGATCCACGCGCTCATGGCTTCCTACACGGTCCTCTACGTGAGCCTTCTGATGTATGAGCAATACGTGAGTATTTTTCTTCTTCTCCAAATATTTTCATCCGAGACATCGCCATAGTTCGCCATTGGCGCTGGAAATTCTGGAAATCCCCTTCTTTTACGCTTGATTCCTCTTTCCCCTGGCTCTGCGCTGAATTTTGCCTTCTATAAGCTCTCATTGCGGAATAGTCGGGGAAGGTGTAGTTCCCATGCAATCTCGTTCGATTGCGAGAGCAAGCGATAAGTTGTCTCCGAAGCGCGGAGGGAGCTCTATTGATGCGACCTTGAAAGAGGGCTCTCATCGATCGATAATGCAGACCAGTCTCGAGGCTGGGCGAAGTCGCGCAAAGTCAGCCGATACATCTCACATCGGTCAGCCTCGCCGCAGAGGCAGCCTCGTCCATGCTACGAGCGGTACAATACCGGCTTCCGACTGTGGAACTTCGAGAGTCAGATTCGGCCTTCGCCGCCAACTCGGTCGCCAGTGGGCGCCTCGTTCAGCACGGTGACGACTTCCTTGTTGATCCGATAGGGATCTCGCACGCCACGGAGGATTCTCCGTAGAAGATAGACCAGAGCGAACCGATAATAATCATTGACTCCGATCGAGGGTTGATCGCTGCTGGCCATTCGGATAATATATGACTTGTTTTCCCGGATAGGTTTTCGACCCGGGCTACGTCCTCTACCTGTATGAGTCGCCCGCCGGATACGCGATCATTGTCCTGAGAATTCTGTCGTGGGCCTGGTTCGTTTACGCCGTCATTTTCACGCTGTACAAATATCCGGAGAAGCTCTCCTTCTATACGCAGCTAGTGGTAATTTTCACAACATGGTTCGTATCCATGCCGATCTTGGTGCTGATTGCGACTTTTGCGATACCGAATTGGTTCCGCGAAAGGAGCGTTGCGTTCGTCGAAGAGCTCATCATGGCATTCGCTCATATTGCTTTCCTCGTAAGTCTGCCCTGCTCCCTTGCAATTAATCCCGGTTCCCGTCATTGTCCAACGAAGCGATACAGCATGTAATAATACATTCCAGCATATGGTTTGGCCGTCTCGAAAGAACAACTACTTCCCGTTCCATGTTCGAGCGAATAAAATCGTGCCACGGGGAGAAAATCCCAGCTACCCTCATCACGCATATGCACCCACCTCTGACAACAACAATTTCTCAAATGCTAACACGATCGAGGCCTTGAAAGAGGCCTACAAAGAAATGGTGAGTAGCATAGTTCGAATTTTTCCCACCTGCCTAGATCATATTTCGAGAGGTCGATCGTCCGTCCCCGCCTCGAAGGTGGATGGTCGCTTGAACGAGTTCCGGTCGGAATCGATGCCGTTGGGTACGATGCCACCATGCCTAATACCCCAGTCTTGCGGGATTCCTCCGGGGTACGCCTTTGCTCGCATTCCCTCATACGGCTTTGCCGAAATCCCATTCCAGACTGCTGTTTCTTCGTGAAGCGACGACTGCCGGGCTACTCGAAGATGACTCACGCGTTACCTACTTTCCAATCTAGAGGCGGCTATCGGAGGAAACGGAAACTGAGGCTCCACGGAGCTCTCAATCGACCCTCTGACTTCTCCCCTGAATCCTCCCAGGGTTGTTATTCTTGCGGATGTTCCAACTTCAGCATCGCACAATGTATAAAGGAAACTCAAATCGGGGAATCGAATAAAAAGACATACTCATTGGCGCGAGGATCTTAGCGGGCTTTGTCTCTCCTACTCCGCTAAGGCAACGGTCGCCTGAGTTCGATCAAGGGGCTGGGGGCCATCGATGGGGCCGCATCGGAGCTTCGACAGGATCTTGATGATGCGTTTCAGAGCCTGATTCAGAAAGTTCCGGAGCGTCCATGGAATATCAGGGTACGACAAGAAAAAGCACTGTGTATTCAATCAAAGTTTTTTATCTAATCGATGGTCTGATCTCGTATGCGCTGCTTTTCGGGGCAGCTTACGAGCCCTTGAATCGACAATTTATGACGCTCTGTACAGAATTTATACAAAACTGCTGGGAGTCTTGCGCATGGGTCGACATCGCTTCCGAGACGTTCGGATCACGCAATCGAACCACGAGCCAGACTCTCTTTCTGACTCGATCAAGGTGGTGACTGCTCTTCCTCCTCATCAGAATCGGCCAGAACACTCTCCTCACTGTCGAAATCGTTGGAATTCATATCTTCATCATCGTCGTCGTCATCATCATCTTCTTCATCGGCTTCATTTTCCTCGGAACTGCCTTCCTCGTCATCGAGGCTCCCTGGCTGCCTCATGCGTATGGTGCCGTTCACTTCAGCGTCGCTCTCGTCTTGCGACTCAAGAAGGAACTCCTGTATCATGGCCTCGGCGGTTCTACGACCCGATTCTGGGCTACTTGAGACGAGGAAATCGTCGAACCTCGGTAATTGCTCTCCGAGCTCAGTTACGGTGTGGGTATCGATGGTCGACAGGCTATCACTTCGGCAGAATATTCCAATTCCGACGCTCCCGCTCACCATTTCGTAGATGCAGACCTTGATGAACTTCGGAAGATTAGTCGAGCCATTTTCCGAACACCAGTCACTCCGTCGAACATCGTTGGGATGGCTGCCGAGCGTCAAAAGAAGGAGACGACCGTCTTTAGCAATCGCCACAGCATAGTCTTCCAGTATATCGAGCAATAGGACCTCCATCTTGCTCTTAACATGAGTACTGGCCGTAGTTTTCTTGCTCTGACGGACAGCCTGTAGATACTTATAAACGACATCTCTATCGATTGTAACCACATAATCCCGTCGACCTTCGTTGAAACGGTAACCCAGGATGATCGCATTTGTAGGCTGTTCGTTGACGAGCTGACCTTCGGTAGTTAACGTCGAGTTTGCGATGGCTCGCTGTCCTCGATAATCGCAAAGGATTCCAACGTCTACTCTTTGCGGAGTGACTTTGATCACTCGTCCGATGTTGTCGTCAACGTCATACGAGAGTAGTTTCTTCAGGCTTTTCGAGAGGCTCTCGCTGTAGCAAGTGTCTGATCGAATGTTCACGGCGGACTTTCTACACGTCGCCGTGAACGGCTCTGACGCGGAGGTCAATTTGCAGATCAGCGTAGATCCCTCACTGACATTGACTTGATCCTTCGGAATGAAAGAATCACTTAAGTCCCTGATGAGTAGTCTGGCAGACAGGTTGTTCGGCAAGGATACCATCACCCCACGACCAGTGACTTTTTTAACCAATGCCGGTAGAATTGCGCCTTCCGTGATCTTCATCGCTTCGCTTCCACAACTCGCGAGCACTTGAGCGACGAGGGGTTTCATGCTGAAAATAGTTGTTCCTTCTGACGAGCCGAAGACTGCGAGTTCGTCGAGTCTATCACCGATGTTGATCCGTTCCAGTAACGACTTCGACAAATCGGGGAAGTCGCTCAGATGCTCCGCGGGGAGTGAGCTCTTCCCGAATCCCTCCACAACGATTTTCAGGCAGGTCCCCTCTTTATCGACTACGAGAGCCTCAAGATGGGTTTTCCCCTCGAAGATGTATCTCCGATCAGTTGAGATCCCGGCTCCCACGTCGTCGGTCTGGCCCGTCGATTCTTTGGAGTCTACGCAACGCAGAGACAGCGTCATCCGACTCGCCTCCGGCGTGACGTTCAGAACCTTCGCACTGAGAACCTGACCCTTTCGGAAAACTTCATCGGGTCGGCTCGCTGAATGGGGTAACTGTTCCTCGGGAACCCAACCGCGGACCTTGTTGTAGAATCCGAGAAGGAGGCCTCGCCTCTCCGTGAGCAGAACTATACCGTCGGAAATCTTACCGACGTTTCCTTCGTCGTATCGGTCGATGATTCCATGTTTACTTTTAATCAGCTGCTTGTTGCACGTGACGAAATATCGCGGCGGATAGTGTTTACCATTGATGTACCGGATTGCGACCTGCACCGGCTTTCCCGGGGGATACTTCTCAGCCACGTTGGACTTATTCAGGATGGGCGAAGCTTCCGTAAAGTCGCAGAACGCGATGGTTCCAGGGCATATCTCGAAAACGATACCGCAGTCGTTCGTGTACTTAACCTTGGCAGGCAAGATGCGTCCGACGTAGAGCTCATGTTCAGTATAGTAACATCCTTCGATTACAACGGAGTGCCTCAACGAGACGTAGAGTTCTCCTTCGAACAAGGACATACCAATGACGCGACAAGGAGCAATTTGACCTGAAGAGGAAGAATATACCGAAGTTCATACACTGGCAAGCAAGATTGGGTAGCTCGACGACTCCAAGCGTTCTTATGAGATACAATCGATGCACAGATCAAATATCTTCTCCATTGCATGAGTAACGCGCTGCCACCTACCCACGCTGAAGACATCGCTGGGGTCTGCAGCCTCATCGTCGGAGACATTGGGTTTGGCAGCGATCGCGCAAACTGTATGCCTCGAGTTCTTTATAGGTATATCGAGCTTGACGAATGACGACGTGACTTGAACGACAACCGCTTTCTTCACCAGCTGACCTAGGGAGAGTCCGTGGAATTCTTTGAAGGGGTCCGCAGGATGAACAGGAGGAATCCTCATCGAGCAATAAACCGTGTTCAGGATCGGATGCGTGTACATCAAGATGACCCGGACTTTGTCGTTGATGCTGACGGCCGCCCCTCGGAGACATTGTCGAGGTTCCACGCAAGCGGTCACAGAGCCATCGAACAGAGCGAGGCACACGCCATTTTCGTCGCTCTGGAGTACGGTCCCCTCTGCCACAAGTCCTGTGATGAATCAAGAGCGAAGTTGAAAATTTGACTTGAATATTTTCCGACCGATTCTGTGACCGCGCTCCGGAGCTCTCTACTCACCCGGTGTAACATTGTTGAGATTCCAATCGTTGTCTTTGGCAACTTCCTCAAAATGGTGAGGAACGAATTTGAGACGACCTCCATGACTCTTCGACACTCTAACCAGAAAAATCTGGCCAACGTACATGACCTCGGTGAAATTATCAGCGGAGACGAAAGCTGAAGCAAGTCCGTCGATGCCAAGCTCAATGCTGTAGCCGTAGTCTTCGACCGAAGCCACGGCCGCTTGGAGGATCATACCGTCCCGTAGAGTTTCACGGGTGATGCCTCCGTTCACATGGTTGCATAAGGCAGACAAATTGATGTTCCCGGAATTTTTACTCAGCACGACGACCTTGATGATGTGACCAACTTTGTACATCGCGTCGAGACGCATCAGTTTCTCGGGCTGTGCTTTTTGACCGAGTCCACGTCGTTTCACGGCTGACGATTCGGCTCTCCAACGTTGCACGAGATCGTTGTAAGGGTGTGAAAGCTGGTTCAGGGGAAGCTGAGCCACGCAGCCCGGAAGTGCGATCCTCAGACTGTTCTCCTGGACGTAGTGAACCGCACTGAAATGGGAGATCGCTGTGAATTTTTCTGTCTCCGATGATCGGATTTTGTTCGGCTCGATGAGCGACACTCACCCGAGAAGGACCATGCCCTCCTGGATACTCTTGTGGGTGAGAGGCTCGATGATAACATCTTCATTCTCCTGGAGTTCCTCGGCATTCGAGATGCTTTTGTTCTTCTTAGTTTTCTGCAAGGGTGCATCCCACAGTATTGAATTGCAGCAGATGGGGCAGTCGAGGAGGTACCGCTGCACATACAAGGCTGGCGTACCGTGAGCCACAAAATAGCTTCTCGAAAGCGATCAAGAGCGGCTCACCTTCTTTTTTGTGGAGCTTAGCACTTTGAACAAATCCTCAGTGTCTTTCCGTTTCGGCAATTTCTCCTGGCGGGTATCCGACGAAGCGATCTTCCCCCGAGGGAAGTATTGCTCTTCTCTCGACATCGGGCTGGAAGAGGAAACAGCAACCATAGTCTTCAGGCAGCTCGAACTTTCGAACTGCTTCACCTTGAGCGGCACAATAGACGCGATCGCAAGGAATATTGGGTGCTCTCTGAGGGTTCTCAGTCAGACACTCGATCCGAGTGTCCGCATCAGGACCAGAATTGCCCTCTGGGGCAAACAAAGATCTGTCGAGGGATATCTGGAAGTGTTTCCCTAGGTCCCCTTCTCGTGAGGGAGCGCAATGATTCCAAATGCGGAGGATTCAAAGACACCACAGATCCTGCCTAGCGGACAGGAGCGTTTTATCAGGAGTCCACTCATCGAACGACCTGCCAAACTTCGAAAAATCTCACTTTCACAGGTAGTGGCTGAATTTCATTGGTTCACGCTCCAAACAGCAGAGCGAGATGCGAATGTTACGAGGGAGCGGGTAAGTCGCACGTGCTCCGGTCCGTCGTTTAGTCGATTCGATCATTCGCCGCTAAAACAGCGGGGAGGCATAGCGAAAGGAGGCCGCTCGGGGGGGCGGGCCCGGGCCTAGACTCGAATCTGACACCAAGTCGTATGAGCTTGATACCTTCCTCAAAATGCTCCATCTTCTTTGGAGGAAGTCTTGCGCCTCGACGAAGAGAGATAGAGACTCATCTTTATCCTGTTGGGCAGCCGTCCCATGGCGTATCAGAATCGTGGTATTCCTGATCCGTGGAGACTTCGGGAATGCTTACTGCAGAAACCAAACTCCCACTCATTTCCTGCTCGATACCGCCTCAAATCACGTCGGACGTAATTCAGACCGGTTTTTCCGGGTCCTCGCTCATCTGCTACTAGCTAACCCGCACTAATCCAACTTATACTTTTACCCTTCTTCTAATCCGCGCTATGCTGAAAGCTTGCGTACTATTCTGTCACAATCACTTTCGACTTCTGCCATGTGAAACCCCGCTATTTTTCCCCTCGTGCATGATTGCCCTTCGAGGTTCATGATTCATCGTTGTGGTCGACGGGGTTGAGATCCGGGACGTCCATCCAATTACGCGAGAGTTGTGAAGTGAGAATCCAAGTGATCCCAGATTATGTTTTTAGACCGAATTATCTTCAAAATTCTATGAGGAACGGGCATCTATTGGGGGGGAGCTTCTATTATCGGGGTGCCCCTCATGATTCCACGCTGGGTTGTGCAATGACGGTGATTGGGAAGACGAGACTTCAGAAAGCTCGCTTTCTCTAGACTTCTGAAACTCGGAGTATGTTCTGGAACAGAGCTTCTCGGAATTCTGATTCGATTTCCCTCGAGGGGCTCATGTCAAAGCCGGGCTACTATTGGAGAGGGGTTGGAATATTGGAATATTCACGGTATCCGAGATACGCCTGAGTAGTTCCCGGCATCCGATTATCGACGGCAATACTCGTCTGGCGCTCTGTGCAGGAAAAATCTTCGATATTCCTGATAGAACGACGGTGCGACAATCGTTCCATGAAATGAGAGCAATGACAGTCGGACTTCCCGACTCTGGAACGGGTCTTGGAGCCTACAGAGAGCTACTCCCTCATCCTCTCCCATTGCTAAGTCAGCCAGCAACGCGAGAGGAGGATGTCTTGTGATATGGTGAAGCAGACACGTGATCCAGTCCCGTGCCGATGTCCAACCTTGGGAAATAGGGTTTTGGGGAAGTTCGAAGAAGAAGAAGTAGTAGACTCCCTTCGAGTAGGCCTCAAGGGCTGGCTTGAAGAGACCAATCGATTCTCACCTCTGCTGAGATGGCAACTTCAGGTCGAAACAGCGGGGGTATACTACTTCCGTGACTTTATTTTCGTTCTAGTGGAAACCCATAAAATCATTCTCATTCAATCAGGAGCAGAGGAACGCAGCAGAAATTATCACGTATACATCGGGAATCAGAGCAACAACTCCAGCACACCAGCACGATTTTCGTCGCTAAGCTTTTGCTCATGTTAACAGAACCCTTGTCGCGGCGGTTCGACGACAGGAAGGCTGTGTGTGCGTTTAAACTAAATAACCCCGCATTCAACAAACATCCCTCGTGATGATAATACAAGGGCAATACTCGTCAGGCTCGAGCATGCTTGGGGAGGAATCAGCACACTTTTTCCTCTCCTTCCCCACCAAGGGCCGAGAACAGTATCAATCGTCAACCATTCATAACGGTCGGTTGGAAACTAAAATTAGGGATCGGTAATAATCCTTCATCATCCGGCCATTCCGAAGTTGAGCGGACGCGCGGCGAGTTTTGCTTCCCACACCTCCTCCAAACGATATGTCTATTCCATCTTCATCCGCTGGGACGTCATCCTGTAGATGATCGAGTCTCGGCCGGGATCCATAAACCAGAGCCCAATCGAGGTCGCATAGACTCCAAGGGTGATGATCAACATAGTGAAGAGCGACATAGCGAAAACAGTGCTAAAATCCGAGTCGTATTCGTAAGCATTCCAAGCTACTCCAGACGCAGCCTTCTCTGCGGAAGGTTTAGCTTCGGCCTGACGTCTGCTCCGGGTTTTCCCTTCGACGGTCTCCTGGATGACCATGAAAAGAGATCTCGGATGACTTTCCAGTCTCCCGGTCGCCTTCCCCACGAGCTCACTTAGAAGCTGAGCGGCTCTAAGGGGTTTCTCGTGCTTCGTGCCGTAATCGGCGGCGAGTCGGCGGACCGAATTCAGATTGATCCAATACACGGTGGAAGGAACTTCATTCATGGGATACTTGGGAATTTCATCGATGATGTTGTTGAACATGGTGTACTCGAGCATGAAAGCCCGATCGGAATCGTTGCTTTGATCGAAATTCTCATCTCTCAGGGTTCCAATAGCTTCCTTCAGACGTTCCTGACTCTTGTCTCCCGCGACATCGATCGAGATCATTTTCGCGGCGGCATCTGGCCATCTGTTCGCGCTGCGCGTTGAAAACTCGTTGAATTCGTCGTCGAGGTTGTTATCGTTCTCCAGGTCGAAGTGGAGGTTCGAGTTCATGGTGAGCTCCGGGAAATTTTGAGGCATTTCGAAATTCGCGATGAGGAAAAATACTGGATGCCGAATTGGATTGTAGCTCCGGATACCTTTCCATGCATCGCTCGAGTGCACTGTGTATCCATTGAGAGCGGACAGAACATCGCCCACCTGTGATGCTTTGATTGAGTTCACACTATTGAACTTGATGTCATCTTGAACGACTGGAAAACGAACAGAGCTTGCGGCCACCAAAGGGAGTAGCGCAGTCAGGAACACTCTCATGGCTGACCCGAACCCGGAAACCTCTGAGCTGATCTTCTCGCAGGGGACTCCGGTATCACTACTCGTACAGTTCTCCAAAAAGAGCGTGACTGATGTGAGACCTGAGACCACCAGTGCGGATGGAGGTGGTCAGATGACTTGTAAGAGAGTCAGCACGGATGGTGACTCGAACACGTCAATCTCGAAACCACCCATATTTGGCGCGGATGTTTGAACTTGGATCAGTGGCAGGAGCGAGCCGCCGCGCGCCGGTGGAACCGTTTTGATCCCATTCGGGGAGTCATTCCCTGATCCGGTATCAATCGCACGGCGCGATGCACTGGGAATTCGACTCTATGACAGCGGGAGGAACTCGAGATTGTGGGACTTGTTCTCTACCCTGAGTGCAGGAATGCCACGTCCGATTCGCTTGGAGGCTTGGAGGTCTCGATCGTTCGAGATAATCACAGGGAGAAGCCGAATATACGCTGACACGGAGAACGGGACTAGCTAATCGAACGATACGATGACAGGACGAGACATTAAGGTATACGCAACCGAGCTCCAGCCCGGCTCGTCGGGGGAATCCAGAATTTCGATGATTATCACAACGAAATAACTTAAAGAGGTAGACAGGTGCTCTGGAAGTGGAAATTCGTCCATGATGTCGCTACCGCGCACGGTAGAAGTCAGTAGGGCCGCCCTTGAGTTTTCTTTTTTCCTCCAATCTTCCCCAAGCGCGATTCGCATGCCGGAAATGTCGCCAGCTCTACCGGGGAAATCGTAAGACCGGGAAATCTTTCTAGCTCCTCTCTCTATCGAGAAGCCTGATGCCTCAAGACACAGCGCCCTGTCTGCCCTAATTTTAGCACGCTTCCGGGAGGGGGGGGGTCGAATGGTCTTGTCCAAGTTCGAAATTGATAACGATCGAGGATACCGGACCTCTCTGACGGACGGAACGTAGTCGCATCACATGGGAGCTACAACTGAACTCATCCCCTTTGTTCACAGGTGATGGATCATTTCCGCGAAAACATCAATCTCGAACCTTAGCTCACGTGGCCCCAACGCTCTATATAAGGATAGCCGAGACGATAAAGAATCAAGGAGATCGCTCGGAGAAGGAAAATGACACGTCCGCTGTGTATCGCCCCCCTACTGCTTCTCCTCGTCATGTCATTAGCACCTTCCGATGCGAGCGATCACGACGCAGAAGAAACGGTGGAACACGAAGATCGTCCCGAGCTTCAGCAGTGCCGTGATTCCAATAAAGGGAAATGGTGCACATGTCGAAAGCTCCTGAAGTTTGTTGAGAAACGAATAGGTCAGGTGCTCGGCCTCTACATTCCCCAGGTGCGTCTCTGAGGAACAGTTTGATATCCGACATTCTCCTAAGGTGACTGTCGCGAGCGAACGGAGCGAAGAATATTGATTTGCTCTAGGTACCTACACTCCCGATCGATAGTATTTGATTCCTCCTCCGTATTTTCAGTGCGGTCGGTTCAAGCCGAAACTCTTCCAACCGAAACAGTGCAGCGGTGCGAAATGCTGGTGCGTCAACCACAAAAGCGGTCGAATTATTCGGGGTAGCCTCCGCGAGGACCATGAAATGAGAACCATCGTGTGCAATCCACTTCTCGATCAAAAATGAGAGCGCGCTCATACCAGATTGCAATCAACAGAGATTTATTGGAATTTTTCCATCAGATGAGAATCCCTTTCGCATATCCAATGTGAGACGATGGAGAATTTTTCATATGTCAGTCTCTTCATTTCGGTGTGAGATGATGCTTTCGAGGATGTGATTTCTGTCACGCTAAAGGGGAAAATTTTCACGCCGCCCCAGCACAATCCTCGCCGATCCGACACCAGAAATCAGATTTTTCAAAAATATCAGGTATTCTATCTAGCGACAAGGAATCCTCACAGTCTCTCCATTCAGATTCAGTCAGCAATCAATAGCCCATCGATGCCGTCTGTTTCCGTCTTTGTTCCCCTCATCGCAGTTATGTTGGCAAAATGTGTGTCTTTGAGCTCGGTCGCGAGCATTCCAACAACGCTCATTTAATGTACCTATTTCACTATTTCCTTTCCTAGATATAAGTGCCTCCGACCATCAATCGAACGGCGCTTCAAATGTTCACTAAGCTTGACGCGTAGGCCATGGGTCGGATATTCGGATGAGGCTGGAAATCAATGAATCGCCGATAAGACTCTACAGAAGGCTTCTGCTTGTCTCCTGCGTCCCGGGTAGAATATTCGGCGGTAAATTGTTTCCTTTTGCGAAATCAGAACCTACCACGGCTTCGTAGACTGTATACTTCGGTGTGAGGTCGCCGCCAGTGATGTTAATGAAGGCACCTTTATTGCCCATCTGATCGCAGTAATTGGGAGCCGAAAAGACGGTTATGCATTTACCGCCGTGGACCACTTCATAGCCCTGTAGCTTCACCTCATGTGATCTGACGACGTATTCCAAGTTGTTCTTCTGCAGGAACTTCTCCGTGACGTCGGGACCGAATTGGACACCGACTCCACGTTTCGATGGAGAACGACCCCGCATGCTCATCGGGTCCGACCAAAGCAGGTCACACATGATACCTTGAAAATCATTTGCCCTAATCAACTGAGTCCATTCATTCAATTTTCTCCGTCAGAACTATAGGATTGACCGCCGTCTCCACTTGCCGTTCTCCGGTGGCTCCCGGAAGCGATCCGTATTGCGTATATCTTCAAGGGTGACATCGTCCTCGGAGAAGAGTCCCCCGTGAGTGACGAAGATTTTTTTGTTGATGACGTGCGCGAGCGGGATGCAGCAGAAGACTTCGGTGAATAGCTGGGCCATGTGCTCGGTGTATTTGGACCGAACTTCCCCGTCGAAGCCGTACATTCTATTCATTGTGTGGCTCTCGTGATTACCTGCGGAAGATGAACCGAAGTTACCCACATGCATGCGTCAGACGCCTATCTCCGCACATTAATCACGGAATCCACACTCCACATCATTTGATCCACAAGCGCGGTCGAAACGAGAGAGCCTTTCTCTGCGGGCGTCGAAAGGAGCTCTATCATTTTCACCGCGAATGTATCTCTGCCCATAACTAGATCATCATCAGAAATTCTTCAGAGCATCTATTCCTTACCTCGCGACATGTAGAAATGGTTGGGGTAGAGCAACTTGAAACCGAAGAGAACGAGAATGCATTCTACGGAGAAAGAACCGCGGTCGACGAAGTCCCCATTGAAAAGATAGGGGTTGCTCTCTGAGGGCATTCCATTTAGCTTGAATATATTCAAGAGGTCATAAAACTGTCCGTGAATGTCGCCGCAGATTGTGAACTTCTGCCCCTGAAATATCAACGGGGGAGCTTGAACGGATCGTTCCGATCGATAGATTCAATTCCGATGCGTCTAACTTCCGCATAGTCTGAAAAAAGTTTTCCCAAGAGTACTCACATCGGGCACTTCGATATCGACAAGCGTCGGACACTTCTCGAAGATGGCTTTCGCTTCAAGAAGGATCTGATAGGCGTACTTGCGATGGAGTTTGCCGCATTTTGACAATTTGTCGATGAGCTGCTCCATGAACTCGGCGGTGATGCCTTTTTCATCGAGGCAAGGTCCGTCGTAATCGTCATCGATGCTCATAGAATCGAGATCCAAAGCATCAGCTACGCTTTTTTTCACATCGTCGACACGGATGGCGTTCTCGAAGGCTATCCGTTGCACTATTTTCTTGCACTCCAGGTAACGTTTCTTTGCATCTTGGTCATTCGGGCAGGCATTTGTTACCTGAGGATTTTAAGCATGTTTGATATGGGGTGTAGAGGTGTTCCACAGCGTGAAAGCCCATGAGCCGCCCTTTTTGCCATTATCTGTCAACATGTTCCCTCTTCACTTACGGCTTCGAAGTCTCTCAGCGCGAATTTAAACTTGCCAAGAGACATGTAGGCTTGCGCACGTCGGTAATAACCCTTGACATATTTCCGATCCAACAGTATCGCTTCCGTTGCATCTCGCAATGCGTAGCCGGAACATTCCAACTTCAAGTATGCAAAACTTCTGTTGCCGTACAGAATTGCACTCGGCTCCGCCTCAATCGCCTCACTGTACAGCTGTACGGCCTCCTCGTAGCGTTGCTCTGGAACGGAAGGTGACTCTATGAGTCTCGATATTCGCTCTCGAACAGATATTCCTCGGTACCGCCAACCCAGAATTCTCCGAGCTCACACCAGGAGCACGAGGATAAGATTCGGACCGAACTCGCATGCTGGTGACGACGTCTCTCAGCAGACACTGCGTTTGGAAATTAGGCACACGAACATTGTGGCTTTGCGGATCACAACAGGAGCTCAATATTTCCGTTTGTTTCAAACCTGGGGCAGTGTGAGTGGCTGCTCTTCGGGGACTGCGAGGAGACCCAGAAAAAATTTATCACCACTTCAAATTCAGAATCTTTCCCCATCGAATCCGAGTTCCTATTATCTGCGTCTGTACGTGAATCAAAGAGGATTCCCCACAACTCGTAACATGGACAGAACGCTTGGCCGCATCAATCGATCCCGGGCCTGTCCAGCCAAAGCGGAAGTCCCTCGGATTTTAAGAAAAACTCCGTTCATCGATTGGGTCGGAAATATGAATCCAGTCCGTTGAGGACACCAGAAACGAATGAATGTCGATTTCCGGATCGAGGACCCTCCAGGAAGAAATGCGCTCGAGGGGATTGAACATCCCCGCGCGGAGCGGCATGGCTCGAGTTCGTCGACGGATGAGCATGCGTCGGCGACTGAGTGCGAACTCGTTGGCGACCCGTTAGAAACGAATTAGAGCACGCCAGGATGAACCCCTCCCCCGCCCTACCATTAGGAATGGCGGAAGAACGTACCTTTGAACTTGGCATTGGCTTTTTCTTTCAGTTCGATTGCCTGGGACTCGCCGGCTTCTTCGGTCATCGTTGGTTCACAGACTGACTGAGTGAGTGTGTTTGTTTATGTTTTGAATCCGACTACACCGACGACACTGATCGACGGCGACCGACAACGGCAGCCGCGATTGAGCGAATACGATAGCGACGAACTCACTTCCTCGCGCACCAGAAAAACCGCCTTTTCGAACTCCAAACGGATCTCGGAGGTTGCTCTAAACGTCAAAGCTCAATCACACTGTTAAAAGGTTTTTCTTTCACAGAAAAGCGATAGCTGATCGGCCATGACTGGATTTAAATCACCAAGAACTTCGTTTACGGATCCCCACTGAATAGGCTGGATCCTTCTCCTGTCCCCGATCTCTCGAAGGCTCGGTACCATGTATGAATGATTTCGACCGTCGTCAGTGGGCGAGAATAAAGAGGGAGATCCGATCAGTCAGCAGATAGCGGCTTCGCCAGACTCGATAGACGACCGTATGTATACACATATATATCGGAACACCGCGGCGGCGGGGAGCGGGGGACGAGCAGAAAGCTAGCTAGTGAAAACAAAGGTGCAATAATAATAATAGCGGTGCGGCTAAGCGTCGGGTATATGGCCAGGGGCGGCAGGACGCCGTTCTCATCGGGGGCGGGACGCTTCGGCTCAAGCTTGAGCTCCTGAAAACACCCGGGGCGGCAAGGGGATTCCATGTGGACTTTCGCAGCGTGAAATTCGGGAGCGATATATAGCAGACGGGCCGGCGCAAGATCTCGGTGATGATCTCTACTCCCGACCCATGAGTCATGAGGGCTTCCCGCTTTCCGCGCGTTCAGGCTGGAATGACGGATGCTGGACGCGAAACGCGGAAGATCATTGGTTCATTTCGAGGATTTTGTGGATTTATTTTCATCCGCGGAGTTCACCACGAATATCTTGATACTCGGAGGGTGTCAAACTGTTGAATCTAGTTGCCTAATAAAATCTCAATTATCTAGGCTCGGAGCTTCTCCGTAGGGACTCATCATTCATCATTCCCCAGGAATAGTTCGTTTGCGCACATGGAATTTGAGATAGCGAAGGTGGTCCCACACCCATAATTCGTGATTGAGGCTGAGAGTTTTTGAAGTTTCACGGCACATGTAAGTCCTCTATGAAAGTCTATGAGGCCGAAAATGTCGTGAATCTCCGGAAAAAATGCCGTGAAAGGTTCCCAGCCCTGCTCAGGATATACTTCCAAGAGATCCGCACTTTGCACCGACAAGAGAAGGCAGTCAGTCAGTCAGTCAGACGGTCACACCATCTTTGTTTCATCCTGGCGGCGAGAATCGACGGGATCGGATATCCACGCGATAAGGATTTTACGTCGGTGAATGTACTGACAGCGTAGTCCCTCGCCGAATAACCCCTCCCACCGCCAGGCCCGCGAAGACCCTCGATTGTTTCCTCTCGAGCATCTGATCGAAATAACATTTTCTTCTTCAACCATTTATTAACTGTTGACCAGTTTATATACCTAATTTGAATATACAAGATTTACGTCCACCTTTCTTCGTGCATTGCTGAAGATGATACGTTCCGCCTATTTCCCCGATTAGGGAAATAACATTTTAAAAACCTGGTGCACTCGAACGCCACTCCGTAAAACCCTCTGATAACCCGGAAAGTCCGGCTCAGGAATCAGCGAATACAGGACAACCCTGCATATATGACGCATAAGCCATAAGCCCCGTCGGCTCTCCGCATTTGATTCTCAGCATTGACCTCCAGACCCTTCAAACAAATTATTATCACTGGAGTCTCGAACCGTTCAGCAGGAATCTCCAGGAACCCTTCGGCGTTGGCCGTCTGCTCATATTAAGCTCCCTTTGCGGCTGTCTACATATGTTCCTTATACTCCCCCCAATCGTACATCCTGCGGATGCACTGCGAGGAGCTAGCGGCCGGTAGGCACTCCAATATCCTGCTCGGAATAATCCTCGATAGTCGACTCAGTCTCGACGATGAGCATCACAAATCACAAGGTGCAATCTGAGGTCGTGTGGTCCCGGGTCCCGGATATATCGGTGTCGAAAAGCAAGAATCTATGCTGGACGCTGGGGCTATATGCGACAGGTACCGATATCATTATCGTCGGAGATGAAATATCCTCAATCGGGCATATTCAGATTACAAAAGATAACCACCAGCCAAATATCCTTATCGTCGAAGATTAAACTCAACATCGTAATTGTCGGAGAGATATCAGACTAATTTCAGACTTGAGAGAAAATAACGGCAATCGCCCCATTCTGATTCCTGATAGGAGCTGATACGCTCGAGTCCTTTCACGATATGATGCGCCCTCAATATCAACGAGCCTTACCTATCGGACGCGGCGTAAGAAAGCATATGTGACCATGAAAAACACACATACATATGTTTTCATATGTTTCGATGTGGACACCACACGATCCGGGCCGTCTTAACACGCGCATTCTAAACTTCAAACTCCAAACCAGTTTACCGTATTTATTCTAATTGAACGGTTTGCTCCGATGGAGCGGCACCCACACGGGAGTTTGAAAAATAGATCGGTGTGCTCCAGAAGCACGGCATGCCCCAATAGAACGGCAGGGGAAAATGACTCGAAGGAAGACGATCTAAATTATAAGATCAGGTGAAGATATCGAAGGCATGCAATACGATTCTTCAGGATGGGAATTGCGCTATTCGTTGCACCAAAGATGAGACATTCCTCAGACGCGTCAGAGGAACGTCTGAGGAGGAGGAGTATATCAAGAGGGCGTCCGACATCTACTTCGAAGTGACTCAAAGGGCCGGGATGAAGTTAGCGCTCGAAGTTGCCGAATTCCACGAAGGTTAGGATCCCACATTCTGCAGATCCAACGGGATGGCCGGTTCTGGTCTTGAGCACTTTCCCGCTTGCCTGAAGCGGAATCCCAGCTTATCGATTCGACTTCCCGATCGATGGTGGAGGACCTGTCGGCGGCCCCGCCAAGGGAATCCCGATTGGTAGGCTACGACGGGGCTAGCGGCACGACAGTAGCTGATGCAGATTAGGGGTGAGGTCTTTACCTCGCGATTGAATGCTTACGCGGCGCTCATACACTTGACGTTGTAGTCAGGAGGGACATTTCCGGTCGACCGTTCCCCAGAGGATCAATGTCGACGGGAGAGCTATACATCTCACACCGAGATGGGCGCTTCGGCCGAGAAATACATGAGGAGGTGGATCATCAGTGGTAGTGTCGAGATCTTGGGACTATCGGTATCGGGTCTTCTGCCGTTTGGATGCTGTTTTCGGGCCGAGGGCCTCACATAGACTGGAAGTTGTCAACGATAATCTACTAGCGCATGCGTTGAATATACCAAACTACTATACTTTACCATACCATTACTCTAGACTATAACAAACGGCCTGCGGCCTCGCTAATGCTCTCAAAGCTTCCCGAGTACAGGCTGCTTCATACCAGATGCTGACGAGTGCTGCTTAAGTGAATCCCTCTTTCTCCAGCTCAGAGTCAAATTACACATAGAGAACAACGTCACTGATCCGGATGAACTCCTTCTGATTGGGCCGTTCAGGTCCGAAGTTCTGAACGGACTATCCAGGAGCGGAGGGTAACGAATTCCCAAACGGAAGCGCAACACGAAAAAGTCAGTTCCTACGACAATATCAAGTCATATCAGCAATCGAACCCCGACCAACGAACATCCGTTGAGGAACAAAGCCCTTCAGATACCATTTAAAGAGTCTTCGATGCCCCAAGATTACGGATGCGGAGGCAAAGAAGATCACGAAAACTGAATTAGGGGGTAGTCCTCTCCGGAGTGCGAATCCGAATACCCACCACCAGAAAACTCTCCGAAGTGCCATTCCCGCCCAAGAGAACCACGCCGGTGGAGCCATACGAAATGTCTCGAGAGAAACGAGAATACGCAAGGAAGAGCTGGAAAATATGAAGAGGAAGAAGAACATCATCAATGTCAGTCGTCCTCAACATTTTGGAAGCCCAATCATTATGGTCGCAAAACCGAACGGCTCGTAGAGGCTGCACAGATTACCGAGTCGTCAATGACGAGACGGAACCCATCTGTGGGCCTCCGCAAAATATTGCCAACATAATAGCGGAAACAGGCGGATGCAACTTTTTCTTCTCAGTTGAGACTTGTTGAGGAAATTCTGCAATAGCCCCACGTGAAACGAGCTAGAAATGTTCCGCATTCGTCACCCCGTTCGGGACCTTCGAATGCAACGGTTGGATCGGTTGGGAGAACTCGACGAATTCTCTTCAGGAAATCATAGATCGAGTCTCGTAGGGACAGCATGAGTTCCGCCGGTATCACGTCGACGATAATCATATCCGTGAGGAGTCGTGAAGAACTTGAGAGACACAGTCGGAACGTGTTCAGGAGCCTGAAGGACGCTGGACTAGGAATTCGCCCTCAGGAGTCGAATTTTTCGGGACACAGGTCGTAGTTCTCGGCCGAAATATCGACGGGAATACCAAATCGACAGAAGAAGAATCAGTCGAGAGAAGAGGTACGATAAGAGAGCCAGTGACAGCTGAACAAGCACAGAGATTCCTTGGGTTTTGTGGTCACGTTCGTTCATTCATCAAAGACTTCTCCAATATCGCAAGGCCCCTGCCGAGGCTTTCACTAGAAGATACCGAGGTTCCAATGGTCAGAGCGACACCAAGAGGCTCTCCATACCTTGGAGGCGAGAATATCCGGAAATCCAATCCTCATACTTACAGATCCTCCAAAACCTTGCATATTGAGCACAGGAGCCTCAGACCTCGGCACGGGGGCGGTTTCGACACAAGAGAATAAGGAAATAGAAAAGAGCGTTGCGGGTTTTCACTCGTACACGCTCTCGGACACTAAATTTGACAAGGAAATGCTTGCCGTACTGAAAGCAGTGGAGCAATTTTTTTCCTCCACACAGCGCGCTGAAAGAGTTGATCACCTTCGAGCAGCCGGGGGGCAGAACAGCTCTTGGAGACACAATTTGGACACACACGGAATGAGATTTCGATATCGTTCACGAACCGGGAATTGGCTCAGAACATGCAGACGCTCCGTCTCGTCTACCGCAGGAAGCGGGCGCTGTACTAATCTTGGCGACTATTGACATGGACAGAGTATATTTGTGCCCCTTCGAGACAGGCCGAAGATATTGGAAGAAGGCCACGATCCACCAGACTCCGCTGGACACTTAGGAGTCTTGAGAACCTACATGTATATTCCCGGTTGAGCGGTTCCACAGGTCGGATACGCGTACAGGAGTGGAAGAGTACCTTAAATCCTGTCCTCCTCGCCAGACGAGCGGAGCAAAGTTTGCGAGATAGAGATCGGCTCTGTTCGAGGCCAAACGAACTTCCACCGATGCGTATATGTCGATTTCGCGGAATTTACGAACGCTAGCTATCGGAACCTGGAAATCTGAGCTCCCTTCGTGGCAGTGAACCAAAACACGCCTCTCGCCGCTGCGAAAGCCGGGGAAGGGGATGCGC